AGAAATACCCGAAGCTTTTAAAGTTCTTTAAAAATTAAAAAATAATATATTATTAAGAATATCTAGCTTATTTATATCCAGAAAATATATTAGATTACTAGTTTAAATATAATATTTAGTAGGCTATAATATTAGTTATTTAATTATTATAAATAATAATAAATATCTTTTTAGTTTATAATTTTATTTCTTAAATATATAATTAATTTCATTAATAATAACTAATTTAATTAAGTTATTAAAGTTTCTAGTATTTAATTAAAAAGCAGTTATTTTAATAAAATAGCAAGAATAATCTAATAGTTTACTTATTTCGAAAATATTAAAATCTGGTTCTTTTTTTCTTATTTAGTATTTGGCTTTTCTTATAAAAAGATCTTATAAAAAGATAAGAAATATATTCTTTTATTTCTTTAATCTAGTTTTATTAGTTTTTTTAGAATTCTAGTTAGAATATTTTCGGAATAATTATTTTTTTAATATTTTTTATTAAAATATTAGATTTTCTAAATAAGATCTAGCTAATTTATCTTATAATTCTTTAGCTAATAAAGTTAATTCCATTAATAGTTTAATAAAATATTTTATTTTATTAGCTATTTTCTTTCTAAAATTATATTATAAAAGCCGAGATTAATAATAAGCAAGTATTATTAAATTTAGAAATACTAATTAATAACTAGATTTATAATAATTAGATATTAAATAGCTTTATTAAATTATTTATTAAAACCTTATAAAAAAATAAGGGTTTTGAATTTATATAAAAGTATTTATAATATTTTTATTAAAAAACAAATATACTTTTAATTTATTAGAATATATATATTTGCTTTAGTATTTACTAAATACTAAAAAGTTATAATTTTATTTTTTTAGTATATTCTATATTTAATAAGGAACCAGTTTATATTAATTAATTAAGTAAGATTTATAAGTCTTTAATAAAGTTTTTATTCTAGAAAAGCTATTTTTATATCTAGAACTAGACTTTTCTCAACTTATTAATATTATATTTCTTATTAAATAATAAATAGAAATCGGTATTTTTATTATTTATTTCCGAATTATTAGCTTTTTTTAAATAATTTGCTTTAATAAATATAATTTTATTAAAATTAAAACAAGTACTTTTTATATATTTAGGCTTTTTATAGCTATAATAATAAAAACCCTTTAGCTAGTCTAATTTCTTTTTAAATTCTCAATAAACTATATTTTTTTATTATAAGAATACTAGCTACTAAAATTAATTTACTAGATATAAGATTATAATAGTTTTTTAGTTTCTAATAGGCTTTTTAGTTCGGAATAATATTTAGTAATAAATAATTTCCGCTAGTTATTTTTCCTAGAACTAATAGTTTTTAATTAAAAGAAGTCTATTTTCTTATTTTATATATTATTTAGTAAAATCCCTAAATAAATTAAACTTTTTATTATTTAAGCTTTTAAAAAGCTTGAAATTTATCTTATTTATTAAATTATTATATTAATTATTTAATAATTTTTCTAGTTTTATTATTAAATAAATAAATTTTATTTAGAATACCAGAAATAGTGTGAGGTGTTTGTTGGTAGGCAATAAGACAATAGAATGAATCAGTGTGTTGTGAAACCACAGTATTAAATTCAGTACAGAACTAATCTCTGTCCCTCCTGTGAGGTCCAGGAAAGCCCCCTCTAAATAGGAGGCCCCGATGGCATACATACAATTAGTGATTTATAAGCCTAATGCATATGATATAAACAGTAGTTGGTTGGGATATCGAAGGGCTGCCGAACTCCCTGATCGACACCCGCGATATCCGAGGTTCGTCACATGCCCTTAAGTCACGTGCGACCCTGCACACATCACATCACAAATAGCTTATTTCTTTATTTTAGATACTAGTATATCTCTTTTATTTTCTAATATTTTATTTCGTTATTTTTATTATAAGCTTATTAAAAAATCTTAAAGATTTATTTAATAATTAAAATCTATTTAACTAATTCAGGTTCTAGTTAATTATAAATAAACTTATAAATATTTTTAATAACTAGTTATATTATATAAATAATTTTTAGTAATTTACTATTAAATTCAGAAAAGTTTTATATTAGTTTATTTCTTATATTAAATATCGAATTATTAATCTAGTAATTATTAATCTAGTAATTATTAATCTAGTAATTATTAATCTAGTAATTATTAATCTAGTAATTATTAATCTAGTAATTATTTTTGTTTATAAATAGAATAGAATTCTTAATTCTAATAAGCTATAATTAATTACTATAAACTAAAAACAGAAAAAAGCCTTAGTATTAGCCCCTATATAATTTTCCTAATAAAAACCTATAATATTTCTGGATATCTGCTTATTTAAATCTCTATTTTATAGCTTTTCTTATACTAGTTTTTTCTTTATATAAAGTTAACTAGTAATTATTTCTAGCTTATTAACTTTTTTAATAAGTTAGTTAATATATAAGTGGAATTTCTAATAGTATTTTACTTATTTATTAGCTATAAAATAGTATTTATTAATAAGATTATCTTATATAAATAATTTCTATTAGGCTTTATCTGTTTTCGAAATATTTATATTAATTTTAAGTTCTAAATTAGATAGCTATTTCTTAATATTTTTTTCCGGAATAATATTATAATAGCTTTTCTAGTAATATAGATTTATAATATTAAAGTCTGGCTTTTTTATTTTATTATACTAGGGCCTTTTATCTAATATATCTATAATAGTAATACTTAATTCCGGGCCGTTTATAATAGCTTTAAAAAAAGTATTAACTATAGAAATAAGTTTTAAATAAGTTTTTCTTATTTAATATTAGTAAATTATAACTAATTATTATCTTATCTAATTTTAAGTTAGTAAACTCTAACTAACTATTATTTTTTCTTGTTTTAAATTAATAAACTACTATTAATTTTTCCTATATTAGAGAAAGAAGGCTAGTTCTTTTATTTTTATTAGTATTAAAGAAATATTATTTATTCTAGTTAAGAGCCAAGCTTTAAAATTAATTAAATAATAAAAAATAATATCTTTTTCTTTTATATTAATAGAAAACTAATTACTAGAAGAGAAATATTATCTGCTTTAGTTAAGAGCCAGGCTTCGAGATTAATTAGATTATAGAGAATATTATATTTCTAGTTAAGTTCTTTAGTTTTTTATAGTTCGAGGAGGTTATTAAATATTAAAAGTAGTATTTTGTTTTCGCTTTCTAAGAATAAATACAAGTCCTTTACTAGTAGTATTATATTACCTCTATAGGCCAAGTCGAATAAGCTTAGTATTATATAATAGCAGAATTAATATAATAGTTAAAGGCTCAAAGTTCAAAGAATCTCATATATTAGAAAATACTAAGCTATAGAACAAAGTAGAGAGGATGCCTTGACCTTTAGTATTATTCCGCCCAAGTAATTCCGGCTTAGCTTCGTTTTGTGCCTGTTTCCGATATCCTGTCCTTGGCAGATCATGCCCTTACGCCAGCCGTCACAGGTATGACTGCGACGAAGAAGTCGAGTAGTGATGAACGGAACTTGGACTGCGTTCAGCCTCGATCAGGGTGGTGGATCTTGCAGGAGGCTAATAGGCCTTTGGAGCGCGCTTGATAGAGACCTCCATGCCTAATATCACTTGAAGTTTAAGCAGATGTAAGAACGAGCAAGGACGATTGGTCTTGGTAAGCGTTTTCTGAAATACAACTTTGCTTCTATGTACTCAAAAGCAATCGAATTGAGCCAATCCCGGTTCTACCACAGTACACCAAATTACTAACAACGAAATAGTCACTTGATTAACACTATTGACAAATGCATCCCGCACGAAAACTAGACTTGAGATTTCAATCATTCTGTTTTCAGCTTTGCGCTGCGACTATGAGATCCATCCTTAACATTTAGGATAGAAGGCGTATACCAAGTAGCGGCCAGGGGGTTGTTGAAGGTGGGGAATGCTAGACCCCACCTCGAACGAGGATTCGTCGGGGTAGATGTGGAGGGTATTCCAACTTTGGCTATGTTTGCGATGCGACGGATCAGTGCATGAGTGGCTGCAAGCGTTGTGCTCTGAAAACGATAAGAATGCAAGCTTCGTAAAATTTCTTGAAAAGGAGATCACCTCCGAAGGCAAAGGCTCCTTTTTTTTCTTAGAGGGATGCGGGGGGAGAAGGAGCCAAGGTCCCTCGGTAGCATGTGGGCGGGGCTTCAAAAAGGAGGGTATTCGTGAAGATTGTGTGGCTGATGACGCATAAATTATGGATTTGTGATGATCGTCGGAGCGGAGATTGTGGACGGGGAAGCTATTTTTTTTTTTTTCAGATACCGCGCCGTTGAGGCGCCGCTGCATGACTGACGCCTGAGAGGGTGAACTAGAAACGAAAATTGGGCCCTGCAGATCCAGGGGCCGAGGTTTGATGGGCCGCCAAGGAATTTTGAGCCGAGATGCTAAGAGGTTTTGGAGATTTGTAATTCTGAAGATGAGCGAGAATGTTGCGCTCGGATTCGATTCAATCACGAGGTGTTGCGTGCCCTTGAAGAGTGTGGCGGATTACTTCGAGGGGGTGGTCTCAAGGTGCTCAGGTTGGCATCGAGGGAGCAGATGAGAAATTGTAGTACGCAAAGAGCAAGAGGTGGACCAACAGCACATGTATGAAACAGTTGAAATTTGAGCACTAAGAAAGTAGGAGGTAGGGTGAGGATGCAATAGAGAGTTCAGATCTAACTTTCTCTCAATTATGTGTATATAAGTACAGAGTGAAAACTAAAGATTCGACAATGAGAGGAATGTAGAATTCATTCCTACCAAAGCAACAGTCCTCAGTTCACCTAGATTTCGAGGCCAAGCCTCTAGAAATCTCATCACGTCGTATCCGATCCCCAATTATGTCAGATAGTCTGTCCCAACCTCTGAAACGCCGAATGCAGACCTGGTATATATATGAACAGAAATGCAGACCCCCCGTGCTTCGCGAAGCAGCTATTTTCATGTCTCGGGTTTGGGGTCGATTGGCGCAATGTGTGGGGGCTCGACTTCTTTGTGCACTTTGTTCTCTCCGTCGAGGGTGTCTTGAAGTAACATCCAGCCGTCTTGTTGCTGATGCTCCTGCTTGTGCTCTTCAGGTTTCTGCTCCTGCTTGTGTTCCTCTTTATGTTCCTCAGGTCTTTGCTCTCCGTTGTTCCGGTTCTGGTCGTCATGGTGCTCTTCATCATGGTGCTGTTCCGGCTTCGGCATCTCGAACGGCGGATCCAGCTTCTCGCACTTCTCACGGGTTTCTTTGTCTATCCTCTCCCGATCTTCCCTCTCACGATTTGCCTTTTCCTCTTCCTCCTTGTTGAACCTGTCCGCGTCAACCTTCTTCTTCGCTGCAAGTACCTTCTCCTTCTCTTCCTCGCTCAAAGTTGGGTATGCCGCTGTGTTGTTGTCCCATGCTTGCACACACTCTGGCTTCCAATTGCACTCCTCCACCATGCCATAGCCAGGGTGGCTGTATCTGGGATGCCGGTCTGGCCATTTCGAAGCATGGTAATGGTGCTTAACGAGCGCTCTTGGATCATCGTGTGTGCCCGAGTTCGAATGTCCCTGTCCTGAGGCAAATGCATGGACGGTCAAAACCAAAATCCGCCCAACGAGGGTTGGCTCTGTCAAATTGTGGAACGTACTCCATGGGATGTGCTTCATCCCCGTTTGCCTCTTCATCTCGGAGAGCATGGCGGTGGTAAACGCAGAGGGTCCAGTCCCGCTCAGCACGTCGTCAAAATTGAGCTGGATTTCGGCAACGTGCACGTTCTGCGCTCGCGCGACTTCAGTCAACCAATTGATAACGTTGTTGATGATCCGCAGGATAGCTGGATTCCGCGGTTTGCTCATGATGGTCCATTGGCAGAAGGATTGTGATTTGGGACCAAGGATGCTATGGTTCGCATACGTGGGCTCGTCGATCTCGACGCTGATGACCAGGTCGAGATCTGCCTTGTCGAAGTGGGGAGGGATCCATTCGTCTACCGGTTTCAATGCTTCCACATCAATATCCGCGTACACCCCTCCCTCGTTGTATAATATCAAGTATCTTAACAGATCCGCCTTGATGATTTTCGCCGTTAGCGATTTGTAGAAATATACAATATCGGGACGATTTAGGCCTGCGGGCCCGAAATTCGTCTCAACATAATGTAAATCGTTTCCATCGGTCAGCACCTCGTATCTATGCGATATATTAGTTAGTGGTGGAGGCGAGACATTCGGGTCAGCAATTCGAACCTATAGCCGGGATTCTTGGACGGCCAACTCCTCGCACGCGACAAATCTCGTTCCTCGAATTCTAAAGGATCGATCTTCCACGTCTGCCAAATTTTCCTGGTGAAGGTTGTGGTGACAACAGACGATGTTTGGTACGCTCGAACCCGGTCCCAAACAACGGCTAATCTAAATGACGATACTGATTCTGCGGTCCAGAAAAATACAACGACGAGAATGAGCGCGACATAGATGGGCAGCGCCCTTTGTATTTGTTTCGGAAGACGTGCTGGGAATCGCGACGTTGGGCTCGTCGCCTTCATCCTGGCGTTCGTCGTAGATTATTCAAGCCAGGAGAATGTCTTCGAGCAGTCTGGGCGCTTTTTGAAGGGACATAGAAAAACCGTTGTACGGTTGAGGCGAAACGAAAAGAAAGGGGTCCAGCAAAGATCAGGACATGAGGCAATCTGATGAAGCGACCGGATGCTCTGGACTCCAAAGTTCAGGTGAGGGAATCCATGCGAGAGGTTACTGCTACGGTTTGTGTCGAGCTGTCACCGGTGTCGTCCGAGTTTTGACTGTTGCGGAATTGAAGAGGTCGAAGGACAGGAGGAGCATGATAATCGACATCCAAGATCGCCCTGGGACCGTCAAAGCACTAAGGTTAATATTGGCGGGGGAACCTGGTAACGGCAATCTCGAACCAACAGGGGATGTCATCCTGCTGTGCAGGTGAGCGCACGAGCAGCTCAGCAGCTGGAGCGAGGCCAGCGGCGGTGGCCAACAATGGTCGTTGCGTGAGATCTCCGCCAAATTCCTGAACAATGGCCACCCAATAGGAGGCGAAAAGCAGCAGCAACCAGCAGAAACCAGCAGCAAGTCCGATCCCCTGTGGCATGCACCACCACCAACCACCAGTTTCACGCGCTCGCCGCTGCAGTCTAATTTCTGATTTCGGTGCACTGCGCCTAGCCTCCTTGAGACCCTTAACATGGCCAATTGCCAATTGGCCGTAGATATCGAGCATCAAACTTCCAAGGCGCCGAAGAATGTTGATTCGCGTGGGTCACCGAAGATTTACGATGAGGAGTGTCCGAGTGTGCCTTACTTTACCCGCAGGTGCTTGACATAGCGTAGGAACGGTGGACCCGGTGAAATTTTTAGGTCCACTTGACGCAATCCTGTGCCTTATTTTCGTATCCAGGTTCGGATCGTGGAGCTGCTGCTCACGCACGAGTCAACTGTGGCCTGCCCTCCTACTGTAGCCTGTAGGACCTACGGAATAGACTTGCGGCGTTTGCCCAGCGGAAAGGGGGAGGGAACGAGGGAGCCCGACTCAGAAGTCAGAACAAATGTGGACTACCTACTCCGTACAGTATTACTCTGGGGGAGCAGTGAAACTCGCGACGGCCAACTGGGGCAAATGATTTGCTTCGGTAATCTCCCGCGCCTCCTTTTTGCCGCCCGGGGTTGTTTCAGGGGGGCGATCGCAGGGAGGCGGGTCCCAAGTTCCAACGGTGTTGCATCAGAAACGATGCTCAGTGGCAAGAACGAACTCACTGTGTGCGACGAGTACGAGGCTGTGTAGCTGACGTGCTGTGTCATTGTGTAATTGTGTCATTGTGTCACCGTGTCACTGTGTCACTGTGTCAGATCAGAGGGCTGAGGGCTGAGGGCTGAGGGCTGATGCTCAGCAAAGTCGCAGCGACACAGCAATCGGCGTGTTGAGAAAAGGGGTGTGGACTCTGACTTTCTTCCAGAAGCTGTTCAGCCCCTATTATTCGCTTGCTCACGTCTGCAATAATCTCATTCGTGCATGAGCCAACCTGCCAGAACTTCCAGAAGTGAAACCTATCCCCGCGCTTTCTCTGCAGGTGGCGCTCCCGCGCATGTGCCGATCGCCAAGGTGGCGTTCAGAGCCCGAGAGGAAACAGCCAAGGTTCCCTGAGAACCAGTGAAACGGGTGCGGTGGTTCCGAGAGCCAGCGCCCGAAGCAGGTACGCCTGAATCGGTTGCGAAGGCAAGCAAGCCCAAGGCTCAGGCAATAATTAGCACTCAGAAACGCGAGAACGCCTTGGATGTTCTGTGAATAAGTGCAAGTAGACACGCGTAGACACGCAATAAGAATACCGATACGAATCCTTGATGATCAAGGCCTGGTTACCGGTATGCAGACACGGGGATGAAGAAGCGGTCCTAAAACCCTACAGAGGCCTTCCAATCTCCGCGATTCGATAGGTTAGAACTTGGCACTTACAAAACCATCCTGGCCTCCAAGTCCCAAACTGACTTTTGCTGCGGCGTGGCGCCTTGCACATGATTTCTGTGTGGACCAACTGTTGCACAAATCTTGTCCCTTGACGGCGCAGACTCGCATGCCCCGTTGCTGACCGCTGACTTGCCCCCCTGAAAGCTGGGCTGGCTTGCACAATTAGGATCAGCCTAACTGGAAACGGCCCTACAGTAGTCATCACGTCGTCTCCGCGGCCGCAGTTCAGTTGAACGAGAACATCATCATCATCATCATCATCATCAAAAAACCAAACGTTTCCACATCGCCAAAACCTCACAATTGGACTTCTAGAGCGCCGAGGAGTCTGCAGATCGAACATAGGGCCACCTGCGATCGAATCTACGGATGAATCTGCCCGGCACTGCGCTCTGCCGCCAAAGGCCCCGATAGCGATAGCCCCCTTAAAAATTCAAAAAATGGGTGACATTTTGGAGCCGGGGATCTGGGAGGAGAAGGAGGGATTGAGGAGAGGTCCAATATACAATACGCGAATATGGTTGACGGATCTTTTGCGGCCGGCGATTTTGACTCGAGGCAGAGGGGGAAAGCAGCAGAGTCGACGGACAGCATATCTGGATGGCCTGCGAGGCTTCGCAGCATTTCTGGTGTACTGGCACCACCATCAATTATGGCCGCGGCAGAATTATTTGATAATGGGCGCTGACTACATCTTCGAAAATTCTTGGGGTTCGTGGTTTTCGTGTTCCTCTTCGTTATGTCTTTTCAGGAGAAGCAGTTGCAAGCTCCCTGGTCTTTTTTTTTTTCGGTCCATCAGAGACGGTGGCATAGACGGAACTTTTGCACACCCAATACTGACGGAGATCTTGTATAGGATTTGGCGATAATTGGTTCTTCGCCGCCATGCCCGTAGTACGAACCTTCTTCACCGGTGGTCACTTCGCTGTCTCTGTCTTCTTCGTCATTTCAGGATATGTCCTCTCCGCGAAACCGCTCTCCCTCATCCACTCCGGCGACACCGCGAAACTTGGAGACAGCTTAGCCTCAGCCTTATTTCGGCGTTGGCTCCGCCTTTATATTCCCGTCCTCGTCACCACGGTGCTATACTTCACATCGTGGCATATGTTCGGCATCTGGACAGTATCTCCCAACCATGAAGCCAATTTCCGGGATGAACTCTGGAAATTTTATGTCGAGTTCAAGAACTACAGCTTTGCGTTCAGGACCGGGGGTGAGGATTGGTTGTCATATAATTTCCCGACGTGGTCGATACCTGTCGAATTCCGTGGCTCGATTATTATTTTTACTTCGTTGTTGGCTTTTTCGCGATGCACGAGAAATATGCGGCTTTTCGGGATGGTGGGGCTGATTTTTTACTTTATGTATATCGTGGATGGATGGTTTGGATCATTGTTTATGGCAGGTATGCACTCGGGAGTCTCCCTTCTTGACGAGTCTCTGTCTAAAACGCCACGTACCCCTTTTATTGCCTGAGATAAGTCAACTAATTGTGGCTTTTTTTGCAGGGTCCCTTCTCTGCGAGCTCGATTTACTTGCCAGGAACGACGATTTACCCCGCATCTTCAAAAGATTAGAACGATATAAAACGCCAATTTTTTACACCTTCTTTGTCGTTAGCATGTTCCTTAGCGGCGTCCCTTCTCACTCCCGTGCGTATCCTTCCTCTCTCTATCTCGTATTAAAACCCCGCAAGCGTTGCGGCATCGTCGATACAATACCTCAAAACTGCTTTATCACCCTTAACAAGATTGCTAACTATTCGCCACAGGAGAATACGAAGTCCTCCTCAAATCCCCCGGTTGGCGACACATTGCCTTCCTAACTCCCCAAGCAACCTGGGACTTCAAATGGTTCTACCTCTTCTGGGCCGCCGTCTTCATGGTGTCCGCGATCCCCCGAATCCCGTGGCTCAAGTCCTTCTTCGAGCTCCGCTTCAACCTATACCTTGGCCGCATCTCGTTTTGCCTGTACCTGATCCACGGCCCCGTGCTCTGGACTATCGGTGATCGTTTATACGTTGCAACAGGCTGGTATCGACCGGAACATGAAATCAACACGCCGTTTTTGATCAATGCATTTCCGATGTCCAAGGCCGGACCACTGGGCCTGGAACCCAGCTTTTTGGCCCCGCATTTGATTTTGTTGCCGTTTACGCTGTGGGTGGCGGAGGTGGTCACTAAGTTGATCGACGAGCCAAGTGTGAGGCTTGTAGCGTGGTTGTACAATGAGATGAAGGCGCCGAGTGAGCAGCAGAAGTGATTGGGAATCATGCAGCGATCGCCTTGTTGAACCTTGTAAGAGCTTCTTGCACAGGACTGTTGGAACGTTATTTAAACGGCGGTGCGGAGTTTGGTACATTAATACTTACACGTTGTGCGTGGGTTTGGAGTCAAAACACCACATCTCATGAGAATATGTGAAGAATAAGTGTTTGATAAAGTCATAGCTTCTGGGTAACCTTTGGCTAAAAATAGAGATGCTTCTCCAATGACTTCGCACACTTTCCGTTCCCTCGTCTCTTTCTGCATTCTCAATACTTGATTTTCAAATACTCATTATTTCATCCTCACCTCACAAATTCAGCTTTCAAGCAATTTTCCAAGTTTCCCTCTTTCACCCACCAGCACATTCAATGCAAATGCACGAATTGGTCACCATGCAAAGATCAAGAAGTTTTCCTGCCAAACGAGTCCTCGACTTGGTTCACGCAAGGACAAAGCTATTCGCATTGACAAATGCACTCAGTCGCGGCAGATTAGGCCTTTGTTGGTTGAACAGCTTGCGCAAGTTCTCATTGTAAAGGATAACATTACCAACACACTGCTCGAGACCCCGATTCAAGTTTCATTGCCGCTACCACTTTTACGTTATCCACCAAAAGACTCCCCATTCTTAACCTTCACTTTCGCAACTTTCACCCAAACACCAAGATGGCACATTCAAACTGGACTTCCGAGGATGACAGGATACGGTTCTGCGAACTCACAAAAACTATTCCCAATCAAATTATGAAAGTGGACAACAGCGTCAGAAAAGCCAGCGCACAATTAGCTTCACCTGGGCAGGGTTGGCTCGTGCTTTGGGTGCAATACGAAAACTATGATAATTGGTCGGCGGAGATCAAATTCGATCGTCATCTCAGAGAAGACATATTGAAGCTAACATGGAAGGGAGATAGAAGATACTTGATGCACAATGAGGGTCCGAAAGTGGTGCCGTTCATGTTTGAGTTTTCCAGATCGCTGGATATTTGCGCAGGGAGGTAGTCTCTGCGAGAGAGTGGAGAGCCGGCTTGAGGAATAGAACTGTGCTGAACTCAGAGAACTGGTAGCTAGAGAGAATGCAATATAGAGATTGGCAAGTTGCTCGGTATGAATATTCGTCACGTGAGATGTAGAAAAGGGGCAAGGATCACTTCTCGCTTCGCGCTTCAAAATGCAATATGAAGGTTCAAAAGTACAAACAGAAGCCCAACTATCTTGAAGTTATTATTGAAAGCTCCTTTTGTCCTGCAGCTTCTGTTTAGCATTAAATTCGACTACTGAATGTAAGCCTCTGGAGACCCCGAGACTGTTTTATTTGGCAAGTGATGTGAATCATAAGCCTTTGATCAACATAGCAAACCGCACACTCGGCGGTGATCCACAACAAAGCGGATTCCGTTCTTCTATTTGGAACATTTTCCCTTGTTGATACTCTATCATGAATATGATAATTCAGCTTTATCTATTGAATAATTCAACCAGCGCAATCTTGAACATGGACATCTTCCCTCAGACTTGAATCACCTTTCACCTACGAAAGGGGAGGCATCACATAGAATAGTGAAATCTCTTTTTATTTCCCTCGACTTCAGGCAAGACCCTACGCACCTTAGCACCTTAATACCGCACGGATCGCGATTCTTTACAAGCTTCACCATGTCCCTGCCTTGCAGAAGAACACCACGCCAATCTCAAAACATCAAACTTCCCTATGCACCTTTGCTTTTCGTCCAGAATTCGACTATCGTAGCTCTCTTTATCTTCTATCAAACTCTCAAGCTCCTCATGGCTTCAACATCTCGAAAATACCCGTCCTTTCCAAAGGAAAATAGGAGCCGCAGTTTCTCATGACAAGACAACGTGGGTTGTTCTCTGGGTGCGATTGGCCAATCGGGATAAAGGTCAATATTCGAAAAACGTCGAATTGAAAAAGAGAGAGATCTTCTTCGAATTCTACAATAATTGGCACAGAATGGAAACAAATCTGTGCCAGTCATTTAAGGGATGAGGTTCATATTCCAAGAGGTCGAGAGGGCATGAGAGGTCTCTCCCGAGTATCAGGGAAGGAGAAGCAACTGTGAGTCTGAAAGATTTCGCAAACAACCTGCTCGCCAAAGGATTATTAAAAAGGATCGAGAACCTGCCCTTTTACCTCGACAATAGTATCGAGAACATTGAGTACTGCATTGATACCCTGAATCATCCTCGGCCGTGTCGCCAGCCCCATCCCCGCCTCAACCCCACCATCACCAAGGCGATCAGAAACAGAAACTACAGGTGGTATTGCGGGGAAGTTGTGTGGATCACAATTCGAAGAGCGTGCCACTAGTGGGGCCAGGACAGAGCAAGCGCAAACAAGATCATGTCAAAATGGCATGGGGAGTTTGGCGCACCTTGGGGGGACTGGCTTCCAAGGAAGAAAAATGGATCAATGAATGTCGCACAGTAGTGACGTAGTGTTCTCACCCAGAGGAGCATACATTCAAATTCATGTTCGAGGGTTTGGAAGGCGGCAAGGATCTTGGCGCATCACGGGAAGACTGAATTGAGCCTCGCCGGAGTGCTGGTGGTGTATACAGTATAGGTGTAAGAAGCCCTCGGCCTTCGGCTTCCCCGCTGTTTTGGGTTGAAAGGATTTCATTTCTAGTGTTCGATGGATCAAAGTATGAGATCTGGAAGAATGTGTTAGCCAGTGATTATAAAAGGGGTAAAGAGTCGTTAAGCGAGAAATTTCAAATTGCAAGTATAATGACTTATTGGGAGAGGCATATGCAACTCTACTAACAAGACGTTAGTAAATTCGGATGATGTATGTTAATGTACTACTCGATCTGGAACGCAGGTTGTGTTGAGCATATTAAAGACAAATATCCGTGTTCGGTGATATTCAACAAATCAAATTGCGTTCGTGCTTCTAGATTTCGCAGTCTTCTCTATAATTACTCCTACGCTCTGTAAATCGTAACGTTAATTTTTGTATTCTCGCTAAGATCTCTTTAGATTTACGTTGAAATGGCAGGAGTTATGATTCACGTATTGCCCCCCCCCCCCCCCCTTTCCCCCCCAAAAAATGTAACCTTGATGTGAATCAAATACCGTGCAGCTAACATGAATCACTTCCCAAGAATAATGCCCCCCAAGCTCATACTATTTGTGAATCGTTGCTCCAAGGCTTGAGTCCTCTTTTGTCTATAAAAGGGTCAGATTTCTTGGCTCCACGGAGTTTCTCCCTCTGCCTTACCAACCACAAAACCAAATCAAAGAGCTCACTTCGTCACAAGGAGAACTCGTCGATGTTCAACAATACTACGAGCTTCTACATCTGTCTTGCATAAACAAAAGGTCGGAAATTGTTCAAGTTTGGTGGTTAGAATCAACAAACCTCTGCTGCGCTTCCTTACCAGTTCCTCCGCTTTCTGGCTCCAAGTGCCTTGTGCCAGCGCTGCCAAGAGAGTTTGCCCAGGCAATTCCTAACCAGTAGTTCTTTGTAAGAACTATTGCAAGGGTCTCGAATTGCTTCTCTCCAACGGCAAGAGACTGTCGTTGGGGTGCAACCCCCTCCTCGGAATTTCCTTCATACTCTGACTCAACTACTCAGATCCCTGCGACATAAACTCTTCACAGTTAGCTGGATCGAATTACTCCAAGAGTAACGAGACTTCATCAAATATCCAAAAGAATTCAGTCCAGCTCAGCCAAAGAAAGATGGCCGACCATTATCAACAATATGCAACCGTACCTCAACCGGTGGAGACTTACGAAACCGCCGCCGAGTGGCTAATTTCACAACTCTCAGGCAATATTTTGGCGAAACGTGATGTCTTTAAGGTTGCGGTGCATCAGGCGAACAGGGAATTGGGCCAGGAGGCGGGACAAAAGTTCACTCTCACACTCTTCACCCAAGCAGAAGATTACCCTAGGCACAACCCTACCTTGAAAATCCCAGTGACTGGAATTATCAAAAGTCGACTTATGGGCTTAGCTAGAGAGAAAGGCAGCCGTGTTGATTTTAACGGCCTAGGGAAACACATAACGGCCTGGATTGTGGAGTTGGAAGGTTGGATCGAAGACGGAGCTCCGACCCCCCCCATCTACAGCTAGCTCCTCATCATCCAGCTCCCCCTCCGGTCCTGCATCTGGCAATCAACCCAGCTCTCGACGTGGTTCCCACTCGGGATTTCACTCTTCTTTGCACCCCGGATCCCACCATCAATCGCGAGGTATCTCACAATTTCATTCTGACCCTGTCTCCCCGCAACACGGTTCCCACCATGGATCCCTGCCTCACTCCCAACATTCTTCTCACCCAGGTTCAGAACGTGGCTCTCGACGCAGCTCCGTATCTCACCCTCTACCTCCTTCTAGAGCTGGCTCCGAATACGGTTCCCCATCTCCTTCCCAAGCTGGTCCCGACGACCCCTCATCGACCACAAAACGTCGGCGATCTTCTAGCACCAGTAATAAGATGGCAGGATTTTTTGGAGGCAAGAAACCCAAGGGGAAATAGGAATCGTGTGAGATAAGTCAGAGTATGTTTGGGTAATCTGTGTTGATTAGAGCAGGCTAGGACGGGGGAAATTTATTTTGCGAGACTTTTGGTTGTTGATAGGGGTTACATTGTTAAGCGAGACCTTCGTGCTGTCGGACTTTTGGACACGACTTGTACGATTGATGAGAGACGTTGCGTTCTGGCATTACTCGACCTCGCCTTTCTGGCGTCCAGAAATTTGTACCACAGCCAACAAAAGTTAGCATGGAATAATAAGTTCGCGTTGAGCATACTTAACTATTACAGTTCTAGGCATTCAAGTGAATCTAAGCATGAGAATTAGGGGCCTTCGGGAGATAATAGGGGCTTCAGTGATACGCACGTGTGGACCTCTCCTTGCAAAATTGCGGCCATGACTGGGAAACAACATGCTTGTGAATGAAGGGTGGTGGGAGCAAGGGTGTCTCTTGTTATTCAAACATCTTCATCATGTCACGGACGGAGGAGCTATAGACCTTTAGGTTAGATACATCCTGGTCTGATATTGGAAAGCAGTTCAATGAGTGAATGATCGAATCAATTACGGAGCCAAGATCTGGCTACAAGAGGGTGTCATTTCTCGAACATGTCCCTCCTGCGTCCACACCAACCTTCACACTTCAGACCAATGCTCGTCTGCAAACCAACAACATCAAACCCAATCAAGGCTTCTTGTTCAGCTGCTCCCGGTTTTGAAATTAGGAACTTCCACTCCCACACTCGAAGCCAGTTCTGCGAGCCTCGCCCTTCTCTGCCGGCAACGTCCTACTGATCTCTGTTACCTCCCTCCAGAAATGAAAGCATCCACACGGCCAATTGGGAAGCAACTCTCATGTTACAGGGCAGTTCACTGAGCGAGAGGTACAAGCGCAAAAGCTTCTGCATGAATCGACAGTCAACTCTGCGTGTAATCGTGGAAAAGAACTCGATCTCTCCAAAAACTCGGACCTTCGTTCTTCAAAATCATAAATTAGAGACTGCAAGACGACCTGCAGTTCAAAGCTTGGATCTCTATCTAACCACCTTCACCTCAAGAAGCCTCACGGACGTCTCTCTCTTACAAAATTCAACTCATCGAACGTAGTCTCGTAAACACAACTTGACACCACCTCAAGATGCCAATGAATTTTAAAAAGAAGTCCAAGTCCAAACACCCCGTCTGGCATGTGGGGCAATACAGAGAACCAATCGATGTTTACAATCCAGGAGGAAGCTCAGGCCGCCACTTGGCGCGAGAACCAGGATAATTTCTATGTGAAGAGGAAGAAGGGAAAAAAGAGAGCGCGTTGTGTTGTCATGTAAAGGAAACTAGGAAACAGTTCGCAATTCGAGGTAGTCAGAACTAGAGCAATAGTCGGGGTAGTTGTACGAAATAGGGGATGGAACCTTCAAGCGAGACTTTTGGCTGCAGCACTTAGACATCTGGGGAGTACTTGTATGCTTGGAAGGGAAATTTGAGTTTGACGCCCGACATGTATTATTAGAATGGTGGGGGCAATTTGGGGAAGTACATGGATTGGCATTTTGGGGGTGCTGTGTAGGGTACAGTACTAGAGAACTCTAGCGGAGAATAAAAGTATTCGTTGAGCTTCCATGTTTGGGCATTGAAAGGGTGAGGTGAAGTTGAAATACATTGCCCATCGCGGGTAATCGCACACTGTATTGATAATTTGATATCGATCCGTCGCCTTTAATTCCGCCACATGATCCAGAAATGACAGAATGGCTAAGGCTGTGTCACAGGATCTAAGGGGCAAGAATCCATGACAATACTCAGGAGAAACAAATCAATCATGTCGGGGTTATTACCCTGAGTATCTGGATGGAATTAAATAGCGGCACCACTGAAGGAAGTGATGCCGCAACTATAAACAAGTATGGTCATACTTACTTGGAATATTGAGACGTCAGTCAGTAATCGGGAACACCCAGTGTTGGTCGCAGCGTCCCTATACGAAGCGGGATGTACTTGAGAAGGGCAGTTCAAGACAATGGGGAACGTTGGTATTACGCAGCATGCAATTTACTCCAATCCAATGGCACAATCCTAGTCCCCTTCCTTGCCACCAACTCCAACAGAACCAAGCTCCTCACATCGTACACGTGACTTCCAGCCAAACGATCAATCAAGTCTGCTCGTCCTTCCCCATACCTCATCTGGATCTTTCTTCCCCTTCGTCTCCGGCACCCACCACCCCACGAACAGAAAACTCAACGCCGCCAGCGCAGCAAATCCAAAGTAAGCCCAGCCTTTACCACCAAATCTATCATTCAACCACGAATTCAAGATAGGGAAGAACTGCGCCACGATATACGTAGCTACATAGTTAGCACCGAGACACCAGCTCTGTGTAGCTCCAACCGCTTCCTGGCCCACGAGCTCAGATGCCATCATGAAAGGTACGGGGCCGAGACCTGTGGCGAAGAATCCAACGAAACCTAGGACGGAGATTGCGGAGAGGACCTTGATTTCCATTCGTAGAGAGATGGCGAGAAGGAGGGACATGGTTCCCATTCCTGAGATCGAGAGGAGGAGACAGGCTTTCCGGCCTATTTTATCAGCGAGAGGAGCACAGGCGATGGTGGTGAGCAAGTTGACGATTGAGATTAGGATTGTGACCCCTGCAGAGGAGTAGGGGAGGACGCCGGAGAGGAGGGAGACTGAGTACATCATTATGCTGTTGATACCACAGAACTGTTGGGCGAACATGATGCCGATGACAGCGATGATTGCTGGTTGGTAGAGCGGGTCCCGGACAACTTGGAAGAATCCAACGTGTGGTGTAGCCTTCTGGGACTTGGTGCTCGCTGTGGACTGTCTTCGTGGTGTAGGTGTAACGTCGCCGTCTGCAGAGTTGAGAAGTCGCTCCTCCTCTGCTATGCCTTTGTCTCCTCCCCACCCTTCGATTTCCTCCTCAATTGAATACCCTTTGCCTCGGATTCGTTGTAGGGTGCGGATAGCGACAGCTGGGCTTTTGTGTGCTGCGAGCCAAGCAGGACTCTCTGGCACGAAACACAATCCAATCCCTTGCACGAGGCCAATGCAAGCCCCAACTCCGAGAATGATACGCCAAAGTGGCCCTCTGCTCAAAAAGTATCCCATGGTTTGTGTGATCAGAATGCCAGAATTGATCGTAACCTGCGTCAAAGATCCAAATACCCCCCTCTCCTTCGGTGGAGCAACCTCCGAGATGTACAATGGCACAATGACAGTGCTAGCACCAGCTCCCACTCCCGCGAGGAACCGCCCAATAGACATAATCGGCACCGTGCCAGCCAGGGTCTCCAGTGCTGAGCCCAGCACAAAGAAAACGCTTGTAATACGCATAGCCAGTAACCTGCCATAGCTAGTCGAGATCGGCCCTGCTGTGATCGCACCTAAGAATCCACCGAGCACGAACATCGAGGAGAGAGCTGCGAACTCTGCTTCGGTCATGGGGATGCATTGTGGGAGGTTGGATTCGGGTTGGGAGGCTACATCGTTCGCGACGGAGGTTTGCTTGCAGGTTATGACATCTTGGGGGGCGTTGAGTTCGGACTAAGGGTGTTAGATGGGCAAGGAATGGGGAGGAGGTGGACCTACAAGATGGAATCCGAATTGAAGAGGTCCCAGCGTGGAGATGAGGATCAGGAAGACGAGGTAGACGGAGACATTACGGACACACTGTCTCATCCCAGCGGAAGGCATCTTGACCTGGAAGGAGGAAATGTTGTGTCCAGGAGCATGTTATGCGTACAGGAAGAGGGGATGTCGTCGTCGTCCGGTGGGGGGGAGCAAGGGAGACTGAACAGGAGATTGGTGTGTTCCTCCTGTTGACGCCGCATTTGTGCAACACGACTTGTGAAGCGAGTTATGCACGAGACAAGGTTATGCAGAGCCCCAAATGGAAAGAAAGCACACTTCTCTCAGCCTTGCCCATACACGTCACCTGACCTCACCGTCACCTACCTCACCTCACCGCACCACACCTTACATCCCATTCATGAGATTTCCATGCCAAGAGACAGCTGACGACGTGCCCCTCTTCGTATCGGAAGCTCCCCCCTTATCCCTCCCTTGTTGTCATTCGGACGCCTCTGCCAGGCTAACGTTCCACGGCCAACCAAACCAGCCTTCACCCAGCTCACCCAGCTCACCCAGCTCCCCCAGCTCACCCAGCTCCCCCAGCTCACCCAGCTCCCCCAGCTCACCTCTCCTATCTGCCTCTCCTACGTGTCTGGCTCTTGCTCACATAGCGAAACACCGACAGCTACTGTACCCCGGCCCGTGAAGAGATTCGACGGAGCAGGAGTCCAGTCATAGAGCACCAGGAGTTTCCCGAGCATTTGTCCCAGATTCCCAGCCCTCGCGTGTCGCCTCAGCAGCCCGCAATCCCGCCCTCGACCCCTCCTCTGGCTGCACGTAGGCTTGTTGCCTTGGGATCTCCGGCTTGGAGACATCACCAGATCTGCAGTTGACATAGTTGACATACAAAGTATCCTCCGCGGCGCACATCATGTCTCAGTAGGATGCTAGCGGCAGAATGTCCCCGCGTACGGTGTACTAAAGTATAGGAATCCGGCGAGTGTAACCAAAACCAAAGCTCCCACCGTGGGATCCAACCAAGGCCAAGAGGGTGGACATCCACGACATCCCATCCGACAGCCGCGCACTCACTCCCGTCCTGTTCGCTTCCCTTCACCACCACCGACTTGTCTCGTCACTCTCCCACTCCTCCCACTCCTCCTCGCCCCTCGCCTCTCGCCTGCCTGAGCTGATCCAACCTAACCTAACGAGAATCACGGGCCAGCGCAGCATCACGCAGCTTCACGCAGCATCACGCAGCATCACCGCCCCCACCCGAAAGTGTAGTGTGCATACCGCATACCCGAGCGGCCCTTCACGCCGCATGCCCACAAAAAGGCCAGCATGAGCCTGACCTCGAATCCGCCGTCAACCGGGGGCCAACCCTCCTCGGCCTCAAATGCTCAGAGGACCCAAACCTTAAAACGCAGTGTCCAGCAAGCCTTTGATGGTAATCCAACCCCTATCTCCCTTCACCTTGGGTTCAGCCTCCTCTTTTCCACATCCACAATGGTTTCATAAATCGGATAAAAAATATTACTTATTTTGCATCCGGAGATCTGGTCTTCGGATATTCTATCTACCTACCTTCGACCTCCTCCCCGAGGGAAGCATCAAAGCATGTTTCCCTCACGACGACCTCCATTTCGTGTGTACTCTACATGTCTGAATGAAACCCTGCTGATCTGACCAACAGACCCGGCTGATCGAGGAATCGGTCCTAATGTCGGCTACCAGAGCAAAGTCCGCGTCATCGACCGCTACAAGGTCATCGGCTTCATCAGTTCAGGGACCTATGGACGGGTCTACAAAGCAGTCGGCCGTCATGGCCAGACGGGAGAATTCGCCATCAAGAAATTCAAGCCTGGTATTTTAGTCATTTCGTGATCAGTTTGAGTGGCACTGATGAAGGCAGACAAGGAGGGCGAGCAAATCCAATACACCGGCATCTCCCAGTCCGCCGTCCGGGAAATGGCCCTTTGCTCAGAGCTGAGTCACACGAATGTAATCAAGCTCATCGAGATCATCCTGGAAGACAAGTGCATCTTCATGGTCTTCGAGTACGCGGAGCACGACCTCCTGCAAATCATCCATCACCACACGCAACCAACACGGCATCCCATCCCACCAAGCACCGTCAAAAGCATCATGTTCCAACTGCTCAACGGCTGCCAATACCTACATTCAAACTGGGTTCTCCACCGGGACCTGAAACCCGCGAACATCATGGTGACTTCTTCAGGTGAGGTCAAAATCGGTGATCTCGGGCTCGCCCGTCTGTTCAACAAACCCTTGCACTCTCTCTTCTCAGGCGACAAAGTCGTCGTGACAATCTGGTACCGCGCCCCAGAACTTCTGCTCGGCTCGAGACATTACACCCCGGCGATAGACATGTGGGCCGTCGGCTGCATCTTCGCAGAACTTCTCAGTCTCCGCCCAATCTTCAAAGGCGAAGAAGCGAAAATGGACTCCAAGAAAACAGTCCCCTTCCAACGAAACCAGATGCAGAAGATCGTCGAAATCATGGGTCTCCCTACCAAGGAAAAATGGCCCCACCTCGCCAATATGCCCGAATCCTCACAGTTGAGCACGCTCTCAAGCTCCACACATCCCAAGTCGGGAAGTAATCTGGAGAAGTGGTACTACAGCACTCTCAACTCGCACTCCGCAACCTCCGTTCCCTCTTCCAACTCCTCTCTTGGCGCAGAGGGCTACCGTCTCCTCAGCGGACTCCTCGAGTACGATCCCGAGAAACGCCTCACTGCGCAACAAGCTCTCCAACACCCGTTCTTCAGTACGGGAGATAAGGTGAGCGGGAATTGCTTTGAGGGGCTGGGCGGCAAGATGGAGTATCCGCATCGCAGAGTCAGTCAGGATGATAACGACATCCGGACGAGCAGCCTGCCGGGCACGAAGAGGAGTGGGTTACCCGATGATTCGAGGCCGGTTAAGAGATTGAAGGAGTGAGCTGCGGGCAAATGAGCAGCATGATGTTAGAACAATCACGACCTCTTGCATTTCATCGGAACATTTACACGGGATCCTGCATATGGAAGACACGACGTTTCTTACACCGACGGCTTGCTGCAACTCTGACTGGAAAAAGAAAGGCTCATACCACACCGCTTTTCGACCTCTCCATCAAAGGGCCACCTCGTCTTGGCATCGAAGTTGAGTAGGTTGCCAAGAATGGGGGCTCAGCCACACGAGTCAGACCTGCACCGCCACACCTCACCAGCTAAGAAATGCCAAGCTGCGAAATCTTGTTTGAGGCGTGCCACCGCGTCACACAGGGAGGGCTAAGTGAAGTATCTTTTTTAATATCGCCATATATAAACCCCTTTTGGGTCCAAGACCTCGAACTCCAGCCATCGATGCCAACCGTCCTTGCCAGCATTCAACAGCCATAGAAATATTGATATCGACTCAAATATCGAAGGAAGTCAAAGGAGAAAAATGCCCTTCTTCTACTCAAAAGGCTTTGGCGGTCGACGAGCAGGCGGCACGGTGACCGCTGATAGACATGGTGTTCATCGACCGATGTTCAGGTTCAGGTGCTGTGGGCTGAACTGTTTCCGCTAGAGGGCGTGCGGTTAACGTGAGTGATTGTATTGGATATGGACGGAGAGCAATGACCACGTCGCTGACAACTGTCCAGAGACGGTGAGAGATGAGGGCTGGGTTTGGTGTCAGCTTTTTGCGGAGGATGGGAACTTCCCATTGGAGTTTTGGAGAGAAGCACAGAGACATTGAATTGCATTTTGGACGGATCACAGAGAATGCATCACCAACACAAAACCACAATAAATAAGCATCAATAGACGGAAGTCAAGAAATGGATGGTGAGGGCGCATGTAAAACCGTAGCATCATAACAGCGACTCTTATTACAACAATTCTACCTAGTATTACAATTCACATAAGCCATTTCCTTTGGCAGTAAAACTCCTATTTCCCTTCCCTTCCAGCCCCTTCTCCTCCCTCAAATCATCATGAAGCAAAAGTCAAATTGCAATTTTGGTATCGATTAAAATTGCACCCCGTGAGAAGAAGCTTGGTATCGCCGCCAGAGTCGCAGTCGCAAATTGAAAGTAGCACAGAAGCAAAAACTAGAAAAGCAACGCTGCATCATCATCGTACAGATTCAGAACCAAAAGAAATCTCGTGAGCCAGTCTCAAGCCACTTTTTGTGTATCTGCCCTTGCGCCGTGTTCGTTTTGTGTTGAGGACCGAGGTGGGTGTCGTGTGCGGTAGGAGAAGGGAGGGAGGAGTGGGTGACGGCGGTCTATTTCTTTCCCTGTACGTTGGGTGGTGATTTTACGTTGTTTGAGAGCCATGCCTGTTTGCAAACTCGTTAGCCTATCTTCCTTTCTATCGAGAAGTCGAAGAGGGGGGGACGGGGGAAATAAGGAGGAACAACAAAAGGGAGCATACCAATCCTTCCAATAACCCCTCACCAGTCGTTGCGCAACTCGGCACCACGAACCAGATTTTATCTTTCAGCTGCGAGAGCTTCAGGGCGTCGGTAACTTCTTGGGGTTTCATGGCTATAAAATCTCACAATTAGCACGAATGCTGAATCGCATTGGAGGTCAATGGTAGGAGGGGAAGGGGAGAGCATACCTCCCGGGATGTCTTGCTTATTGGCAAATACGAGCAGTAGCGACTCCTTCATCTCTCGATCGTTGATGATGCGGTGTAATTCCTGTCTCGCCTCGTCTATGCGTGCTTTGTCTGAGGAGTCGATCACGAAGATAAGGCCTTGTGTTCCTGTTTAAGCTGTCAGCACTCTGCCATCATTTCTAACCCTGCTCCATCCATTCAATATGCCCACCATACCACAAAATGCCCAAAAATCCAGCTAATATCTACCAATGGATGCCCATAGCCCCAAGAGAAGGGAACCAAAACATACCACTAAAATAATGCCTCCAAAGCGGCCGAATCTTATCCTGTCCCCCCACATCCCAAACATTAAACTTAACATTCTTATACGTCACAGTCTCCACGTTAAATCCCACCGTAGGAATTGTAGTGACGTCCTGGTTCAGCTTCAGCTTGTACAGTATCGTCGTCTTGCCCGCGGCGTCCAGGCCCAGCATCAGCAGCCGCATCTCCTTGGATCCGAAGATCTTGCCCATCATTTTCGACAGTTGGCCTCCCATCTTGTCGGTTATGTGTTTGCCTGCCTGCGAGAGGAGTAGGTAGGTGGAGTTCGAGGGGGGGTGGAGGAGAAAAGGGGGAGCTCTCGTGCGATTGTTTCTCCGCTCTGGGTTCGAGATGAGGTTAGATTTTCGACGGTCTTGGACATGCACAGGATCTCGTTTTGACAAGGCTGAGACTCTCCTTTGTTGTTGCGCTGCCCTTGTCGTGCTCGCGTGGGTGTTTCCTGCTCGTGTTCTTGGCTCGTGGGGCTCTCGCACAATCGCAGTCGAAGCCGAATTCCTTGGTGGAAATGTGTGCGTGATGGTCGCAAAGGAGGGCTGAAGGAGTGGCGTTCTGGTTTGAAGGGGCCAGATCAGGAAGCTTTGACTTTAGACGCCGTGGTTGGGCGGAGATTGAGATTTGCAGTGGACTTTGAGGAGCGTGAAACGGAACGCGGTTAATTGTTTCAGGGGTTTGGTCGCGTTTACCCAGCGGTTCCTGAAATTGCCTGGGATGTGAGGCGAAAAGCTCCACGTGATTGCCGTAGAACGGAACTTTTTTGAATGTTTGAAAACTTAAATACAATGATTGAGGAAGAAGATAGGATATATACAAGCAGTATGCAACCTACCAATTTCCATTTACCATTGACATTGGGTATCCGTCCTTGGCCACCCCGTGACGCCGAATATGCATCCAGACCAGAGACAAATCTAACCCTTATGATCCAACACCAGACGCCTCTCGACGATTTTCAGGGCCCCAGCAGCCTCGTCTTCAAATAGCAATTGAACTCTGGCTCCGTCTTCCAGCATAGCCTTGACCTCTGCTCGATAAAAGGTGGTTGTATCCGGGTAGAGCGCAAGAACGCGCTTCCCCACTTCGTAATCTTCAAGCGGGGTGCCTTCGGCAGGAATTGGAACCATTTGAGAAGCAGAAGACTTGTACAGAGTGCTGACGCTGCCTTCGTCGGGATAAGGATCTTGGACTTCGTATCGTCGACTCTTGCCTTCTCCGATTACCCTCTTCACCTGACCCAAGATCCAATCTTGCTCGTCGGTTTTGCCCGGAATCTTTCTCTTGAATGCAACCTCCTCGCCCTGGGCATACACAATCTTTGGTTTGCTTGCGCGCTCGCTGGCTTCAGAGGGTCCTGTATCAGGTCTTACATCTGTGGAACTCCTTGGGGGTTGACTGCTCGTCCGCGAGGGGCCGATCTTACGGACTTGCTTGTTCTCAGCAGGTGAAGGTACAGGAGAGTCTGATGGCCCGTCAAAATCCAGCGTCGAATTTCGTGAACTGCCCACGCGAACTGGGGGTTGTGCATCCATGTTATCCTCGTTGTGTTTGACCATACCAATCAATATAGTTATCTTTGAGAGTAGATCTTCGTCCGTAGCACGTGCCTTTTGGTCGTCCGCCGTGCGTATTTGTTCGCGGTAGAGGGTGGAAAGGTGCTCGATGCCTTCTATGGAAGGTTCTACAGATGGTCAGAAAGATTTTCGAGCCAGGAGGGGTAGAAAGTGTACTTATTCCAGCGCTTGCCTTGTCCTTTTTCTGCGCTTCATTCTCGAATATCTCTTTGTTAACCTCCGCAGCTCTCGCTTCCGCCTTGCTCAACGCCGCTAGATGAGGCAAGATCTGCTGCCAGAGATCTTTCTCCTCCGTCAAATCATTTGTCGCTCCTCGTGGTCCACCACGGCCTGGGCGATTTCGCTGCGACGCCATGCTTGGGCTTTCCTGTGATTGGGCCGGGTCCGAAGCTGGGGAATTGGCAGTGGAAGTTTCTTTCGGTGATTGTTGACTGAATGAGGGATCCCTAATCTTGATTTTGATCTTGGGGTTTTCTGCGCCTAAAGCCGCAGCTCTTGGCGAGGTATTGCTCAGCCAAAGCTGTCCCTTCCCCAATGGCGACTTTCCCACCGATGATTCCCCAACCGTTGACTTACTCGCAGTCGTTGCCGATTGACCTGACCGTCGATCGCGTCGCGGCGAAGCAGCAGGGGAGCCAGGAGGGTCTGATGGTCCACTGGAGGAGACCAGTGTTCTACGTTCGCGTCGAGCGGGAGTGGATGGACTGTCTGGAGGATCAGAATAACCGCCAGAAGAGATTCGTGCCTTGCGACTGCTTCGATCCAGACCTTGGCCTTCTTGCAGTAGCTTTGCCAGGCGTTCCTGGTTTTCGCCAGGTTCGATCTCCTTGAGAAGCTTCGACATATTAGCAGATGTTCTGGTGGTTGCCACGGGGACTGGTGTTGCTGTCGTTGCATGGTTGAGGCGAAGACTTACTTAAATATATTTGGAGGTGGGTAAAGATACTATCGACCTGCCGGTATCGCTCATTCCTCCGTTCCGAACTAGTGATGTGAATTGTTCGCGATGGAGAAGGGATGGAATACGGAAGGGATGATAGCGGGAAAGACGTCAAAAGCGGCAGAAGTTCAGCCTTGCCGCGCTAAAATCTCCGGGGCAAATTGATTGGCTGAAAACATCGATCCTCTAGCGCGGGGTACGTCGATGTCAACTCCCATTCTTCGATTCTTGAATTCTCAAGTGCCCTCGAATTCCTTTACAGCATTACTGAAGACAACGTCTTTGGCCAACATTTCCTCACGATGCAAGTCCCATTGATCAGACTGCAATGTGGAGCCAACTGCTACGATTGGGGCAAGAAAGGCCAATCTTCAGCAGCTGCCAAATTCGCTGCAGCAACGCCAGCCGATGGCTTCACGATCAAAGATGACAAGCCATACGCAGAGGTACGACTCAATGAGCACCTTAGCAGCAATTGCTCACCGCTGCATAGTTATGGATGGGCACTCACCCCTCTAACCCTTCGAAAGACGTCCAAACACAACGAACCCTCCTCGACCTTGTCCAAGAAAATCAAGCTCTGATGGGGACGGAGATCAACGAGAAGTTCGGACACAAATTACCCTTCCTCTTTAAAGTCCTCTCAATCGGCAAAGCTCTCAGCATCCAGGCACATCCAAACAAGAGGCTCGCAGAGCAATTGCACGCAAAGGATAGCAAGAACTACCCAGACGACAACCACAAACCTGAGATGACAATTGCGATTACGCCTTTTGACGGATTATGTGGCTTTCGGCCTTTGGCAGAGATATCGCATTTCTTTTCCACGGTGCAGGCGTTGAGGAAGTTGGTGGGGGAGAAGGCTGTCGACGAGTTCCAGTCGGCGGTCAAGGGTAAAGAAACATCGGAGAAGAAGGCAGACGAAGAGACAAACAAAAAGGCGCTACAAAAGTTATTTGGCATTTTGATGAACTCGCAGAAGGAAGATGTAGAAAGGGCTAGCAAGGAGTTGATTGCCGAGGCAGAGAAGAACGGAGCAGAGTTCGCTGGTAATGGAGGTCCATCAAATGATGGGCAAGAGTTGGTAGACTTGGTGGTGAGGCTAGACAAACAGTTTCCAGGAGATATCGGACTCTTTGTGCTATTCTTCCTCAACTACGTCAAGTTGGAGGTTGGTGAGGCAATGTTCCTGAAGGCGGATGACATCCATGCATATCTAAGCGGCGACATCATCGAGTGCATGGCCGCATCCGACAATGTTGTCAGAGCTGGATTTACACCGAAGTTCAAGGACGTCGACACCTTGATCTCGATGTTGACTTACTCCTACGCACCGATCTCGGAACAGAAGATGGATCCCGTCGATTACCCATACGTTACCTTGAATGCAACGGCATACTCTTCAGGCTCAGAAGCAACACTCTACGATCCTCCGATTGAAGAGTTCAGTGTCGTGAAGACGGATCTCAAGAAGAGAGGAGCGAAGGCAACCTTTGAACAGATTGCTGGACCGAGCATATTCATCTGCACTTCTGGCCATGGGAAGATCAGTGTTGGACCGACGAGTGGAGAGGTGAAGCCTGGACATGTGTATTTCGTGGGAGCTACTGCAGAGGTAGTCCTTGAGAGTGAGGATACAGAGTTTACAACATTTAAGGCTTTCTGCGAATTGCATGACAAGGAAGATGGGAAGGAAAAGCTTTGAATTTGAACAATTAATATATACAGTGCCGCTTCTAGACTCAAAGACTGATCATGACTCTATACAAAAAAATATCTTCCTCACGAACGAACATTGTATTGGTTTGCAGTTCATTAAACAACGAGTATTAATGGGTGTCGAGCGAAGTCAGGTTCGACTGAACGGTATCGCTTACTACAATTTCAAAAGCCATTATGCGAGTCGAAGGAGCTTCCCAGTTGAAATGACAGTGATTCAGATTCACTTCTTTCAACTGGCTTGCCCCCTCAGTCCGACACATTCTTCTCCGGAGGTGTTGTATTCATTGCAGCCTCCGCTTTCTCCAACTCACCCGGCACAGTGATATCAACGCCCAAAGCAGCCGCCTCCTCGAGCTCTGTTACGGGACCAACGAACCATCGATGAGCCCACAGCACCCAGCTCGTCAGGGAGAAAATAGCAATAATCCCCACAGCAACAACAGTGTAATTCAGCGTCTGGCTGCTGACCGGATTCAGAGTCGGCAAGCAGAAAATGATACTGATGAAGCAAATCCATGCCACAGAAATAAAGGCTATGGGTCGGGAAAGCATGCCCAAGTTGAAAGGCCCCTTTCGAGGGTTGAACTCGCGGGCATAGATGAGCCCGATGAGGATAGGGATTCCGTACGAGATGTAGAGCCCAATTGTTGCGATGCTGGTTGCGGCTCCAAAGGCGACAGAGCTTCCGAGGGAGGGCAGCGCAAGACAGAAGGCGAGGAAGGCGGCGAGCCAGACGGTGCGGATGGGGGAGCGGAACTTGTCGTCGACTTTGTGGAAGAAGTTTGGCTGTTGGCTGTCAGTATGCGCCTCGTCGGGTTAAAGGGGAAGGAGAACGCACGATTCCACCATCACGCGAGAAGGCAAACATCATTCGGGAGTTCGAGGTCATAGAAAAGAGTCCGCAGTGCCATACACAGATCATCACTAGGGACATCAGGACTACGGCTCCGTCATCTCCACATGCATCAGCGAAAATCTGGAGCACAGGTTGCCCGAAGTTTCCACCAGACGCCGTGAACGTGAAGTCTTGGATTGAGAACAAGAAACTCAAAATGACGAAAAAGCCGAACAGGGAGGAGAACCCAACGGATGAGATGACACCAATTGGGGCTGACCATGAGGCCTTTCGAGTTTCCTCGGACAGATGTGCGGAGGCATCGAATCCAGTGAGGGTATATTGACTCATGAGAGCACCGCAACAAGCAACATATGCCGGAGAAGCGCGCACACTCCATCCTGGATCTCCAGTCCCATCATAGAACGTCGCGAACACAAACTTCGCGCTCTGATGAGTTGGAGCCTTTGCCAAGACTGCAATAGCAAGCGCAGTGACGCCTGCCGAATGTAGGAAGATGGATGTGTTGTTCAGATATCTCAGAACGTGGACACCGAATGTGTTGACGATTCCATGGGAGATCAGAACTGCGGCGTAGATTCCGATTGTCTTTCCCGGAGTAGGCGTGTAGGACGATTTCACAGTCGCGGTAGTCGATATCAAGCCTGCGAGACCGAATGAGATACCCGTAGTGACAGCGACTTGGCCGAGGAGGTTGAACCTTGACTTCTTAGCAAGTTATATCCGGCATTGGAGCGGACCTTACCATCCAGTAATCCACGAAGCAAAGGCGGAGTGCTTAGGAGGCGCCAGCAATGCTGCCCAGTAGTATGGTCCTCCAGCGGTGGGGATAGCAGACACAATCTCAGCCATGCTCAAAGCAATGAACATTGTGAAGACCGAGACAACTATCCAGCCCACTGACATAACTTCATTGCGTTAGCCAAGGCCGCATGTATGCAATAGGATGAGTGTACCTCCAGGACCACCTGTATTCAATCCATATCCGAAGAGGGTTGTGATACCGGTGATGACTGACTAGATACGCGCATCAGTTACTGCCATATGAAAGAGGGCAGGGAGGCTATACGATGATGGAGAACGAGATTCCAAAATTGTGCGCCAATCCCCAGTCGCGACGCAGTTCCTGTTTGTAGCCAAAATGGCCCAACTCCTCCTCGTCGCGCTCCTCGACCGTTGAGACGTGCCTCTCAAGCGTGGGTTCTGGTTCGGCCATCTTTGAGCCAGTTCTGAATTCCGAGCGTGCCCGTCTTCAGCTGATGGTACAGTAAAGAGCAGCATTCTGAGGTCACACGGCATGGCCGAATACTTATCCTGTTCCAAGCTTCAAGATTGTCGGACGTGTGGCCCTCTTCGGTCACGCTGCGATAAGAGCTCTGGCGCTAGACTCTGCTAGGATGATATCTGGCCCAGGGGCTCAGCAGTGCAGCACCACCCACAGAATTCGCAGCAAGGGTTATGATAGCCGTGGGCCGTGATACCTTGTTGTAACCCGGGGCAGCCCATTCCTGCATTGCATTCGCTCAGCCAGTGAAGTGTGTCCCGGCTTTCAAGGGTCCTCCTCATCTTTGTAGAAGGCATGACTAAGATTGGAAACCTAGCCAATGCATAACATTACTTCGTAGCCCGTGAGTCGCCGAATCTCCGCCACGATGAGCAGAGTTCAACGCTCTGCTTCGACGCGGACCAGAAATGGCCTGGAAGCGTGGAAGCGTGGGAGCCTGGACCTCCCTCGGCGAGGAATCGCTCGCATACAGTTGCCCGTTGCGGGGTGATAGGGCAGATTTGATTCGGCGCAAGGTCTTGCATTTGAGGAGGAGAGTTCGCGAGACGAGTCAGAGCCGTTTATCAAGACCTCGAAGATGACGAATTGCTGATATCTTTGGATAATTAAATATTTATAGGGGTTGGGGTTGGGTACAGTAGTCGATGCCAAGCTACGGCGTTTCGAGGTCCTACACAGTTACCAATTAAACGACGCTTCAGGCTCTTCATTTCTTCCTTCATTTTAGCCACAAATCAACCCGGCAGTGCCGCATTCAATGAGATTTCAACGAAGTAGCCGGGATAAACCAAGCGCTCAACTCCCACACTCGTACAAGCAGGCCGATGATCCCCCGTGTAACTTTTGACCATCCTTACCAGTAACGGTCCGGTTCGCGGGCCATCCAACGTGGTATGAAAGTGGTATGAATAAACAGAATAAACAGATTTTCAAATTCCCTCGGATGCCTCCTCAGGAACAGTTGCACTCAGAGCCTTTTCGAGTTTCTGGCATGCTTGTCAATAGGGTTTAACAACAGAGACTTCAACATATTGTGTAACAGGAAGTACGGAACTCAAAAACAATCGTGAGCTGCTCTTCTAAAGTCCCAAACTTCCAATCAATACCGCTTGTCTGGCCGCCCACTGCAATTATGGTTGAATTTGGCGGAATACGAACGGCAGAGGAAATGTGCCAGTCTTCGGAAGCTTTTTCATAGCCTGAGTAGACTGAAGGTCGAAGTTTCGCTGACATTCAACTCAGTAAATCCGAGCAACACGCCGTTACCACAAGTACCCATGATCGATGCGAAATGGTTAAAAGTTATAAAGCTCATAGATGTTCAAGTCATACTACACTGGTACAATTATTAACTCTGGGAGAGGCATCCCTATCGAGCTCGGATATTGGTTCCCGTAGGCCGAGAGCCGTCCCTGAGTTCAAGGAGGAATGTTGAAATATAGTGACCCATCGCCTAAGATCTTATCCATTGTGCGCTAGAACTTGGTGAGATGTACCTACGCGGAGATCCGCCTTCAAGCGAAAAGGGGCTCGCTTATGCCTTGAAAGCATCACCCGCTACCCAAATTTACCATTGCTCTTAAGTTCTTGGACTTTAGTAGTAATGAACCCTTTTTGAATGAGCATTCCCCCATTGCCAATCACACTGCCCTTTGGCGACAAGTGAGGAATTCTCAATTTTCCTTTCCTCAAACTGTGGACTAGATTCTTACTCCTTCTAATCTTTCCGCTGGTTAAAAACCAAAGTCTCATGCCTCCAACCGCAGAATAGCCAGATCCCTCTCCAGTTCAATCTCGGAGCCCTAATCTATCTCGGAGTCTTTTGGCTGCAAATATCTGTTCCAAGCTGCTTTCCATATGCGACGGCGAAAACCACCTCCCGGAGGATGAGGACGCATTGGATAAGAAGTTCCAGAAGTTCAGCTGCATATGCGGTGTGGAATTCTTCCTGGATGATCTGGTCGACCGTTTTGCTGCCCACTGTCAAACTGGGGTCTGCGCCGGATGAAACCAGCTGCTTTACTAGCTGGAAGTCAGTGACCGAGAACTGCGATGCAACAGGTCACTCCAATAACGGCTTCAAACCGCCCCACCACCGGGCTTCGAGTTGGGATTCAGTCCGTTATTAGGTAGCTTGCCAAATATCAACTTCGAATACGGCTCGGGGGCGCGAGAAGCCGAAATGTTAGTAAAAATTGTGATAAACACGCGGCTGGCATCAGCGCCCCCAGAAAGGAGAATGTCCATGAGTTCCAGCCTTAGCTCTGACGGGCTATTAGCAATATCCAGAACTAACAATTTCCATGTTGCGAAATGTCCATCGGCGGCATCTACGAGATTCTGGTCTGCTCTGTGCTGGAGCTAAAGTTGAACAATAGCTGTAGAATTAATTTTGCGATTTTTTGTTGCCATTTCAACTGGGAAACATGCATGCCACAATAATGGCCGATGCCATTGCGAGGACGAGACTAGTGAAGGACCTCACCCTGGGCTGTCCTTGAAATAGAGTTATAAGCCGTGCTGTACGCATAATTCAAAGGCTGATTGTGATAACGAATTCGGCAATAGCATCATGTCGAGCGTAGATGAATTTTGCAAATCGATGTCCGTTGTTGAGGGATGAGCTAAACAGAGGCACCTTTGAAGTTCATCAATCACCGCCGTCTGTGCTAAGCCGGTGCCTGTTTCGGACATATAAGCGTGGTTCAGCCTCGAGAGCCGTACCACTACTGCGGTCAAGAGGAGGAGGGATGAACTTGGTGACAGTAAGAAACCCGTGACACAGGGAGATCTTGGGGCTAAAGTTAGGCCCAGCGGATTCAATGAATCTCGCTTTGATATCCCTCTTGTTCAAGAACTCGCCAACAGTCCGATGCAGAAAGCCTACTCGGCATCGAAGCTGTACTTCCCCAGCTTCTTCCCCAGAAACCTCGAGAAGTCCTTTAGTCCGTGCATCCAGTCTCTTTTGCTTTCGAACCTCTCTATCTGACATATTGTTGAAAGTGCCCAAGACTATTGATATAGGGCCACGGTGGTCGGGGTTTGGTGGCTCTGGGGCCAAGGAGTTCATGGCAAAACTGGGATCCTCCCTAATGTCGTGGAGGAAAGAATAAAAGGGAATTATTTGCAGCAAGTGCAATAAGAAATTTTTGTGCTATTTGTTTCTAATATACTAGTTCTACGGAGTCAAGCATGAGATGGAAGAATTCTTCCAAATCAAATAGTACATACTAAAGTCTCTTCTCCAAATCTTTTAGATTATCTCCGTATACGAAGCCATTAAGGAGTGACTTCTCGTAACGAGTGCTACCCTAAGCCAAACTCTCTGAGCTCTTTCTACGATTTCATTGACAAGTTCCTCATATTCGTTGTTTCCTTCTTTGGCTTGTTGAAAGTTGGTATCGTTCTCGAAACCATCTTGGATGTAGACCTAAATATAATTTCTCGTCAAATCTTGGAGGTATAATCTATAGTTTGGGCTTTTGTCAAACTCATCCTTGAATATTTGCCACGGTCGACCAGAGACACAGACTTTAAAGTTGAGGGAAGCAGAAAATGCTCGGATGACCAGCAGAGGGTCTCGTGGCTCCCTATCGAAATTCATCTAACCCGTTAATAAAGAGGCAGAATTTGGCTAATGTGGCCAAGCCGTGTTTAAGCGTGCGGAATACCTCTGAGAATTTAATCGGCTCCATAGATCTTGTGTTTTACTTTTCTATCGATTAGAGAGACATTCTCGGACTAGATTCGAATACTTCCTCAAGATCTCATAAAGCAGTGTCCTTAGCAGCCCATCTTGAGATTTTGCATTTTTGTTTCAGAAAACCGGGAGAAGCTTGCCGTGACTAACAGCTCAGATCCAGCCCAGTTCTGAAGTGCGGCCTTTGTCTTAGGGTGTTCGCAAATGAACTTCATAAAGGTTGATTTTCCAGACCCCGGCATTCCGCCCACCCGATATGGTGCCTAATATGGTGGAATATTTAAGCTATTCCAGTAATTTTATAGGATATTCTAGTCCAGAATGTTGCAATACCCACCCCAGGGTTGCAAGATATACATCCGGGATTTGTTTAAAGCGAACTTGGATTTCATTGAATCTTAAACTTTTCAGTATTCTTTGCTCTGTAAAAACCTCGCGGCCGGCGAGAGCTAGATTTGAAAGACTCTCCTGTAATTTATTGAAATCTGCGTTGCAGGTTTCGAATTTTAACGAGCTAAGGTCGTCGATTCTTGCCTTTAACCCGAGCAATTGGCTCGTCCGTTCAATGTCAATTCTCTCATTTTCTTTAACCATCGTGTGCAGAGAGGACAAGATGGTTGAATTTCGGCCACTAGGAAGTCGTGTTAGACAAATAATCGAGGATTCGAGGAATGGAAAAACAGATGATCACATACCTCACCACCGCCACAAGTTGAGAGGCTATCTCGCCCGATGATCTCTCAAACGTCCCTAAGTCTGTCGATTTGTTCTTTTGCAACCGCCCCTTTCAGCGTTTTCCGAAAGCTGCTCCATTTACTGTCCTTCTTTGCCCTGAGAACCTTTATCAAGCCAAGGAGGGCTTCCGTATCCCGAATGCATTCCTTGCTCAACCCATGCAAAGCTTTTCGGGCGGGATAGTACGAGCAAGCCGTGGCTGCTCAAGCGCCTGCTCAAGCTCATGGAGACTATTGGCAATTCCCTAGAGGTGAACATGGTTTCTTGGACTTCCTATGCAGCTATGCTCGACCTATATATTTCGTAGGTAGAAGAGAACTCTTTAGAGTTGTAATTAATGGACTGGACAATGATTCTTGCGAGTTCAATGGCTGTAAATAGATCAATCATTATGTTGTACGCGAGGCTGCAACTGGGTAATAGGAATAGGCAGAGAGAAAATATAGAGGCATATTCCAGACATTTCAGATAGATGTGGCTGAATATACGAGGTCTCGATCTCTCAAGCCCTTAGAGACTGTGGTTCTTCGAAGCTGTATGGGCCCAGCGACAAGTGGTGTTGAAATCGCAAAGGCTGAGTACTGAGATGAAACCCTGGAGAGATGACAAAGAAGTGGGAAATGCGGCGGCTGAGATAATGTGGCAATGCAATGTGACCTTATGTCCACCAGTGATCCTACGACCTGGCTGGCTCTCGGCTAGGCTGCCAAAGGGGTTGATTTGGCTACTACTCATGCAATGAAGAACTAACCAGGCCTAGTTCAGCGCCCAAATTTTGACTGAAGAAAAGAGCATCTTTACCCCGCGATATCTCAGAGCTCACTCACTGTACACCACCACCACCACCTCAAACCCAAAATGTCCTCTCTTCTCCCTAACCATCCACCACTCACCTCCTTATCCTCTTCTCAACCTTCCCATCCGAGATCCAACAATACACGTGGAACATCCTAGCCTCCCTTGAAGCACAAGAACGAGGCGTACAAAATCAACGAATAGGCCGCGATCGCCCCCCTTAAGTGTGGAGCCGACGACCACTCAGCTATTTAACTCCAAATCATTAACTAGCCTCACTACCTCCCGAAATTCCCACAAGTCTGCGCAAACTCACGCGAAGTCTCGCGGCGGATATTCACCCACTAGCTGAGTTATAATGGCGGGTACATCTATGTCAACAAGGCGAGAGACATGTTCCACTTCACCAGGGGTGAGTTCGGAGAGTACTGGTTCCTCGATGCGGGCATTGCACGGAGCCTCAATATAGCTGCAGAATCGGATGAGGTCGCGCTCAAGTAGTTCAAAGAGCAGATCAAGGGCGTCCAGCACTTTGAGTTCTATTACCTCCTCTGGAAGGCGTTTTCCAGTCGCATAGCTATCAGGACTCGAACTTCTTCACTTCTGCTTTCCCCAATATGAGGATCTTGACAATTATATTTGTTAACCATGATATTGTTCGGAAATTGAGGGCTGGGTATTGCTATGTTGAAAAGGGACTCGCGGGAGATTTGCGTGGTGCAAAGAGAGCTGGGGAATTCTTGGGATCAACTTCAATTTCGTGGTGAGGTCTTATCCTGCTTCGAGTGCCCCTGTTTTGAAGATTGCGACTTACGTGACGAACCAGAGGGAGTATAGGGAAATCGATGAGGAGAATCGGTTCACATGCGTCATGTATCATGTATCATGACCCGCAGCGGGGATTCTTGTAAATTTCCATCGGTGATAGTCTGCTTGGTAGGCAAGCATTGCTGGTGGCAAAGTCAGCGCTCATGGCAATGCCTCGGTGTGTCCAGGGACTTGAGCTACAGTTCTATTAGCGACGAGCAAAATATAGGATACAAACCTTCCACAAAGAGCTGTGCCCTCTATGCCTCGAGATGGGTGGGATTGTGGCCCGCTGTCCTCCTTGCAACCAGCATAACTCATGCTAAATCACTTCTACGACTAAAGCGTCAACAGGGCACATGTAGTATCAAGACACAGTCGTTAGACAATATTCTTCAATATATTTCAAGTCTGGTTTGTGCTTCTATTGAGCAATATGCAGAACCACTTACGCCCTTATCACGCCCTGGTGCAAGCCACCAGATATACCAAATTTTTTTGATGTAAATACCATGGAACAACCCGCCAACTCCAGTCCAAAGATATGATCTTGGTATAGGACATAATATGTGCTCTTTAGACATAGATTTTGATTGGGGCGCCGTCTCGATAGAGAGATTTGTTCAACTTCGCCTGGAAATAGTTTTCATGAGTTTTCACTCATCTGAAGCATGTGCCCCATCTTTTCTATCTGGAAGAAGTCAGCATGCGAAAATAGGAACTGAAAGTTTCTGGACCATACCTTCGTCTTCAAATACCCGCCCACCTCCTGGCTCCTGATGCCGCCACTCTTTCCCCTCCACGCCAACGGAATCATAGCCACTCTCTCTTTGACTACGATCTCCCTGTTCGGCCCCTCAACAGCGCGTACTTTGTCCGGGTTGTTCGTCAACAACCGAATGTCCTGCACCCCCAAATCAACCAACATAGCCGTGGCGAGACCATAACTCCTCGCATCTGCAGGATGCCGAAGCAGCAGATTCGCCTCCACGGTATCAGATCCCAAATCCTGCAGATTGTATGCTTTGAGCTTCTCTCCCAATCCGATTCCTCGTCCTTCCTGCCGCAAATAGATTATAATCCCACCTCCAGATCCAGGCATCGACATCAGTCGCGCAGCTTCATCCAACTGTTCTCCACAGTCGCACCGCGCAGACCAAACCGTCTCTCCCGTATAGCACTCGCTGTGTATTCTCACCAACGGCGGCTCCTTCTCCTTCTTCCGGTTCTCCGCGGATTGCTCACTCTCGCTCGGTAACCTCGAGCTCGTCCGACCAGGGTATAATCGCCCAGTATATGCCCCTCGAATCAATCTGTCCATCTCGGTCTCACCCTCCCGTGGCGCATCCAAGCTTCGACTCCGAATTTCGTTCCCGAACACAATCGCTAGATGCTCCTTGTTGTCCTCGCTATTTTGGTATAGATGCAGAAACATCTCCGTCCCTGAACCGCCTATTGTAGTTGGTATTCGTGCGCGGACAACACAGTTCACGTCCGGAAGGCGGTCAAGCAGTTTCGGCTTCTTCTGTCCGCACCCGCCATTGATTGCTGTGCTGTCTACCGGTACAGATTTCGGGATGTGCTGAGAGTGGTGGTGATGCGAGGGTGTATGTGTACCAGGTGTCGAGGGAGGGGTAAATGCTGGGGATACTAAGCCGGGCAGTTCTGAGTCCGAGTCGTGGTCTTCGTGGGCGGAAGAGGATGCCGAGCCGAGCGCCATGGCGATTGAGCGCTCATTGATGGAGAGGGAGTTCAGGTCGAGTTCGGATATGGCGCGAGAGACGGGGATCGGCCGAGGCGAGTAGAAGGGAGGGAGTTGAGGGACTTGGTCATCGTCATCGTCGCTGGAGATCTGCCAGGACGAGGGGTGGGATGGTTGAGCATGGAGGTCCGGCATTGTGGTTGAGGGCGCGAGGGAGTGCGTAGGAGGTGTTTATAAGGACAGTGGTGGGAGCAACATGGGAGGCTGACTTAAGCGCGGCTCAGGGCTTGGGCTGAGTGGAAGATGTTGGAACGGAGCGGAGCACCAGGAGGGGAATGTTTTGAATGTGAAGTTACTCGAGACGTGAAGGCCGAGGTCGCTAATGCGCGATGACCGATTTTAGTAATCGATAAGAAATGGAGAATTTGAAATCGAAATTGTGATTTATGCGTGGCAACACCAAAATGATTGACACCCAGGCATACAGAAGTATAATTACGTTTCTAGGTGTTCTTACGAGAGAAACCTAACTGGTCTTGGTATGAAGTCGCTCTGGCTGCATGGCATGGAGTTGACAAGAAGTACGAAGGGTCGGAAACCGAAGCCGGTCTTGGTCACGTGCGATCGACCCGTCAGCGGCACTAACCTTAACGGCTCGGTTAGACAATCTCCTCCTCGGACCACCGGACTTCTCTCGTCATGGCACGACTCTCCTAGACCACCTCGACGACAACATCTCATTGGCCAATGGCTATGACGTTCATTCTACAAGTGGAAGAATGTTTTCAGTCTTTGCCTTTCAACAGCTCCGAAACCCTCTTCGGAGATAAACCTTCGACATGACGGAGGGCAATTGGTACATTGTGCTAACACTTTCTGCCGACGCCATGGTATTGTGGACTAAGACCCTGAAGAGGCCTGCAAATGCTATACTCACTGACGTGTACATTAATTGGAGATGAAGGAAGCAGAGCAATATAAAAGCCCCATCTCTTGCTGACTGACAGTTCAAACAAATACACCTGTATTCTACTCTCACAATGGCACCAGAACGATACCAATCTGCTAGTGGCGATGCCTCTCCTCTGGGCAAGCCCCTCAAGTTCCAATTCTCTGGCAGAACAGCCAAGAACCGATTCTTAAAGGCTGCTATGACAGAGCGTATCTCATCATGGGATCCCAAGGACTTCAAGGCTCGAGGAATCCCTTCCAAGAACCTCATCAACGTATACAAGCGCTGGGGTGAAGGGGGCTTTGGCCAGATCTTGACTGGAAATATCATGATCGAGTATGACCAATTGGAGGCAATGGGAAACCCAATCATCCCCAGGGACGCTGAGTTTTCTGGCCCTCGATTTGAAGCCTTCAAGGAGTTGGCAACACAGTCGAAAGCCCATGGTTCTTTGATTGTAGGCCAAGTCAGCCATCCTGGCCGTCAGGTGGAAAACAGAATTCAGAAGAACCCCATCTCTGCTTCTGATGTTCAACTCGAGGGTAAGTTCCCATTCATTAATCGTTGCGCAGACCGTTCCTGACACAATGAAGGTCAAGTGATGGGCATGGAATTCGCCAAACCCCATGCCGCGAGTCAAGACGAAATCAATGTCGTAATCGACGGCTTCGCCCACGCAGCAGAGTTCCTCGAGAAAGCAGGCTATGATGGCATTGAACTACACGGAGCTCACGGTTACCTCCTTGCGCAATTCCTCTCCCCGACCACAAACAAACGAACGGATAAATATGGAAGCTCGCTCGAAAACCGCCTGCGGATCATTCTTGAAATCGCTGATGCTTGTCGGAAGCGAGTCTCTAACGACTTCATTATTGGCATCAAAGTTAACTCAGTTGAGTTCCAAGACAAGGGATTCTCTCCAGAGGATGCGAAAGGATTGTGTCAAGCGCTGGAAGAGGCCAAGTTTGATTACGTCGAGCTTTCGGGCGGGACATACGAATCTCTTGCCTTCGGCCACAAGAGAGAGAGCACGAAGAAACGTGAATCATTCTTCATCGAGTTCGCGGAGGAGATCGTGAAGCCCCTTACAAAGACGAAAACATACATCACCGGTGGAATGAAGACAGTCGGCGCCATGGTCAAGGCTCTTGATACGGTCGATGGTGTCGGCCTTGCACGTCCCGTATGCCAGGAACCCCACCTCCCCAGAGATATCCTCGATGGCAAGGTCAGGGGAGCCATTAAATTGAAGCTCGACGACAATGACTTTGGTCTTACTAACGTCGCTGCTGGAACACAGATCAGACAAGTTGGCAAGGAACAGGAGCCGATTGACCTTAGTGATCAGAAGAACGTGGATGTGTTTAAGAAGGACATGGGGGCTTGGGGGAAGAAGCTTGGTGACGATAAGGAGATGAGGGAGTTTGGATACGTTGATCTTAGTCAGGCTGCAAAGCCGTACGGTACAGTTTCGGCTTAGATTTATTTAGATGTACAGGCAAATATCGATTCATGACTTACAACTATACACAAAATGTCGAACCCAAAGCCCAAGTCTTCCCTGAATTACATTTTCCCAGTCGAAATGCCCCGAACTCCTGGGCACAATTTCTGTGCTTCAAGTTCCATGCCCTGGGATTACAACCAATGAAACGAGCCCCCCCTATATACCTCGAGTCGAATGAAGCAACCGCTTAATTACTTGCCTCTGAATCATTATCCAAATCAACAAGCGCTTGATAACTCATCATCTTCTTCTCACACTTCGCAAGCTGTTTCGCATTCCGCCTCAACAGTTCCATCTCCTCCTCCCTCGACACCGCCAGCCTCCTCTCCTTCTCCCTCAACACCTCACGATCCCTCTCATAATTCCTCTCCATCTCCGCCACCACTCTTGCAATCTCACTCTGCTTCGCAAGCTCCAGCGCGTTGGCTCGGTGCTTCACATCCTCTAGCTCCTGCTCCAGCTTGCTGATGATCCCGACGCGGGAATTGCTGTCGCGATTCAGTACCAAGATCTGCGCCTGGATCTCGGGAACTCTTCTTGACGCCCAGATTCTGTCGTTCTCGATTGGCTGAGGCGTTGTTGAACTCGGTTTGGTGTCATTGCTGTATCGTGACTGTGAGCTCCCGCTCGCGGAAGGTTTGGCGTTCCAGGAGATGGGGGTGACGGGTTCGTAGTCTGCAGGAGGCTTATTCACAGGCTGGAAACTTTGGCTTTCGAGGATGTGTGTGGGAGGCGGAGGTCTTGGCGCCGAATGGGGGTGAGGAGGTGAGGGCTCGGGATGCATGCTGTGTCGTGGATGTGGTGGGGGCCCGTACGGCGATTCATGCGTAGCTCGGGCCTGATGAAGGGGACCAGTACGCAGGGGTGGAGGTGGGCCGTCTTGGACCCAGATGTGAGGTTGTTGTTGTTGTTGTTGGACTGGAGGTGGAGGGGCTTCTGGTGGTCCTCGGTTCGGGGTAACTTCCTCCGGTGCACGTGCAGGTGCTATCTTGCGCTAGGGATTGTTAGTCGGCATCCCTGTTCAAGTCGGGGGTTACTTACGATAATGTTGATGGGTTCGCTCATGGGAGGACTGACTGTTGGCGGTTGGTCTGCCATGTTTGGCCTCAGTTCTTCGTCCAGTCGAGGTTTTTTGTGTTGATGTCCATATGCTGGAGGGTCTCCTTGGCCTCGTGGGGCTACCTCGATAATTTCATGACCTTCCATTGACCCCTGCGCTCGCTTCCCAGCCGTTGTTGGGAGGGAATACTCGTTCGCATATGAGAAGTCTTCCCGTGGGCGGTCTTCCAGACTCCTCCTGTTTGTCTTTTGACGATGGTTAATAAACCAATTCTAAATTAGATTAGCCTTGAGAATTCAACTTCGATTAATACCTCTTACCCTTATGGTCTTTTCCTCGACACCTAATTCATTCGCCATTTCTATCCTGCTATAGACGTCTGGATTCGACCCAGTTCTTGCAACCTTTTCTTCGAGATAGGCTCTTTGTTCCGGTGTAAAGCGAAAAGCAGTGCTTCTCGGTTTCTTGGTCGACGGTGCCGGAGAAACACTGGCGGTTTCTTCTGGAAGAGCAGTGCGTAGAGGACCTTCGGTCTTAAAACCCGTAGTTTTTGCCTCCTCGACGGAAGGGGACTTGGATGCTACGGGAAAGGGCCTGGGAGAATTGACAGAAGACCATTGCGCTGCCGGTTGAGGGGAAACCCTTATTTCAACTTTCTCTTGCTGCTCTTGTGGCTTCTCCTTCTCCTGTGGCTGTCCTTGCTCCGGTGGTAGTCCTTGATCCTGTGGATGCCCTTGCTCCTGTGGCTGCCCTTGGTCCTCTTGGGCTTCCTCCTCCTCTTGCTCTTGCTCCCTGTACCATCGCAGGTAATTCCACTTTGTGATCCCGAACTTCCGTGGTAGGTCATTGACAGCGGGAGTATACCCCAATTCACCAAGCATGGCTTTTATTTTGTCGACAAGCGCTGGACTTATGGATTCCCCATCTGGCTTCTGATCGCAAACCGTAAGTCGGGAAGGAAAGAGGATAATGGCTGAAACCTTACCTTCGGCGTTCTGTTTGGTTGATTGGGAGATGTACTCTCCTTTTCGGCTTTGGACGACAGGCTAGAGTCCTTTCTAGATCTTCCTCTTGGTGTCCTGTTTGGTTGAGTGGGAGAAACTGTTTCTATCTCTTCATTAGAAGGTAGTCCGGGATCCTTCTCAGCCGTCCTCCTCGGCGTCCTCCTCGGTTCGCTAACAGTCGGGCTTTCAGCATCCACCTTGGAAGGTGGCTCAGGCGTTTTCCCCGACTCGACAGGTTCTTCGTTTTCATTTGACTCAACCCCACAGCTGACCTCAAATGGTTCCTCAGAGGACAAAGATTCGTCTTCGATATCGAGTCCAGTCCCAGCAGCAAGAGGAGATTTATCTTGCACCAGGTTCCAGTACGCATCACATGCATCTACAGATCTGGTATGACCATTCTCTTTCAGGCGTTCCGATACTCTTTTCCAATGCTTAGCCCATGACATAACGGCTGAAGGGTCAGTCTCCTCCAATTCGAGTTGCTCTTCAGTCATGCCAAGTAGTATCTGGTGCTCAGTATCGTCCCATCTAGGGCCAGCGGCTTTTTCATTGGCCTTTTGGGCACCGAGAGTGCGCTTCCAGTATCCAAGGCAAGCGGCCGATGTTCTGCTGTGACCCCTTCTGTGTAGCCGGTCGGAAACGTTAGTCCAGTGTTTGGCCCAAGGAATGACCTTCGACGCGTCTTTCTTCTCCAGTTCGAGCTGTTCATTCGTCAAGTCGACGAGTATGTCGTGCTCCTCGTCGCTCCATCTTGACGCTGCCGATGGCCCTTGGGTTGAGAGCCGTGCCGGACACATCTTCCGCACTCCCGCAGCCTCGTGGATCGCGAGTCGTCCGATGGGATGAACAGAACTGGCGTCGGAGGGTGGCGAAAAGCTCGGGCGAGATGGCAAGCGTACGCTGTGACAGCGGGTGTAATCTGGATGGAAGAATTGCTCGACGGGAAAAAGATTCGGGTTGTTTGCGCTGGCTAGATTTGACTGACGAATCAACACGAATCAACAGGATTATTGTAATTATTCCGCCTCCCTTGGCTCTCCGCCCGTGTCAGTCGACCTGGGTGCTGGCTGTGTTTGTGTGACGGGCCAGGGGACCTGTTGTCGAGTTGGGAGTCATGCAATCCTTGTTGATCACTTTACGAGCGAGCCGGGAGAGGGTCGATATATGAGAGTGAGAAAATGAGGCCCCGCTTGTTCTGATTGCCGGGGATAGAGCGAGCATTATATTAGGGTTAGGATCAGGATTTGAATTAGGATTAGCATCAATAGGATTAGGTTGCAGAAGCCATCTACCATATCCGGTAGCGTCGTATTGATAACTGCAACCTGCCGGGCCGGGGTTAGCAGCGGACGTGGTTGTGGTGGATGCAATGCGGTGGAGGCTGCCAATTTTTAGGTGCTTATTACGAAATGTGTCTTCAACAGGGCGAATGAGATCGGGAGTGGAGATAACAGTATGTCATCTCGTGTGAGTAATAGTAAGGGTCCATCTGAGCCCGCGACCAATGGGCTAATGGCTAGTCAGTGTAATGTGGTCACAGAACTCACGGACTCACGACTCACAACTCACAACTCACAGACCGACCGTCACACCTTTAAGCGATGCATGTCCTGTACTAGTAATTGGAAGGGGGCGCAGCAAGGTCATCATTGCTTTTTGCTCGGCAACCTCCACACCCTCCACAACCTGGAAGCGGCTTGCAGGGTTGTAGTGATCTTCCGCGCGACGTGCCAGCACCGTCACAGTGTCAGCATCAGCATTGTAAGATCTCATTTCCATAAATCTCCCTGGCTCCACCTCTGTTTCTACAACCACATTTGGGCTCCCTTGGGCTCCCTTCAACAGAACCGCATAACCATAACCATGAAGAGAACTATGGCATCCCCCACTCGCACAATGCTGTACCTTGCCTATCCTGGCCAAGGACTATTTGTGTGCAAGCCGAAGAAGAAAAAAAAGTAAATTCGTGGCGCTCCCGCCCGAGATTTTTATTAGCACTCCGGTGGCTCCACTGAGATGCCACTTCGAAGAGTCAGTTTGAAGAAGTGATAAAGGTTAATAAGTCCTTTCAACTCCCCGATTCCAACCATCACTTCACGTGGACTTTCCACCTTCAAAATGCCAATTCGCCAAGCTAACTACAGCGACCTCCGCCCAGCAGCTGAAGTGGCAGCTGCTGCCTTCATTGAAGATGAACTCTTCGGCGAGCTGATGCATCCACATCGACACCAATACCCCGAGGATTTTCTCCATGCTTGGCAGCAAGACTTCCGGGCCAAATGGCTTCAACGGGCGTACGTTTTTCTCGTTGCCGTCGACGACAACGGGAAGGTGGTAGGACTTGCAACATGGGAGCGGGAGTGTGAAGAGAGACAGTTTGGACTCCTAGATCCAAGTTCGTCTCGGCGGTCTGATTTGGGGGACTTGAGATGGTACTGATCATGTGATAGGAAGGTTAATTTATCATCTTGCGTCTTGGTATACTGGACTTGAGAGATGGATATGGCCGAACCGTGCTGCGGATCCCTCAAAAGCCAATGTGCTGGACGAGTCGAAGCCGCTGATTGAGCACCATTGGGCTGGATTACGGGAACAGAATTGGTATTTGGATCTTCTTGCTGTGCATCCGAAGTATCAGGGGCAGATGTATGGGAGGGGATTGGTGCAGTGGGGAGTTAACGAGGCGAAAAAAGAAGGCGTTTGTGCTTCTTTGATTTCAGCGAGTGGGAAGGAGAGGTTTTACGGGCGATTTGGGTTTATAGAGGTGGGGAGAGCGAATGTTGGGCCGCTGTCTGGGATTGACGGTGGAGCCATTATGTTTACTGACGTGAAGGCTTAAGAAGCAAGATAAATATATAAATGGGAAGGTGGCCTGAGACCCTGAGTGGCCAACTCCGTGGTTCGACTCCCTGGACGAGATCAAGCAGAGGCGATGGCGGACAGCGAGTTTGCGGGAGCTGATGGGTGAACGAGACCCGATCGATGTTGGCCCAATTCTCGCATCGGGCAATGATTGTTCTCACAAAATATATAATCATTCACCGAGTCGCCTCAAATGGAATCATCTCTCCTTCCCTGGCAAAGCTCTCAGTAATCCTTCCAACAATCCCAGTCCAGCCCTTACCCCGTCCAGAACATGCACATTTCTTGCTTCTTCCTCTCCAAGTTCTTCCACAAGTGCATCTTCGACTACGCCGTCCAACCCCGCCATTCCAGCACATCCCAGGCAAATGACCTTCACGTCTCTCTTCTTCACCAGCCTCTTCGTAGCCTCCATCATCTTTCTTCTCACTTCTTCAGGGGGCGCGGTGTGAAGCTCGATTGCACTCAGTCCGGTTGTCTCGACACCTTTAAACTTCCCACAACTTCTCGGCTCGTCCAGACCAAGAAACATTGTGACTCCCTCCGACAGAGCATTCTCCCAATGAGTTCCCGTACTGACTATTCCAAACATCGACCTCTTCTCCCGGAACCCAAGTGGTAGCAGAGACAACGCAGTTGAGATGCTTGCTTCAAAGATGCCAGTCACGTGCTGGTGAGAGGCAAGCTTTTCTCGCAGCATTCCCACCAGGGGATGGACGCTATAGCAAGCCACCAGAAATGCATCGTATTGGGACAGTTCTGTTTCGAGATCTGAGAGGACGATTCCCGCGGAAGCCTCGGCGTCGTTCTCGTTGTTGATACTTGGTGGTCCTGAAGGCGCAGTATAGGTGCGGATCTCGGCCGAGAAAGGCAATCGGTGGTCGAGGCTGCTGATGAGTTGATCGAGGGAATCTGTCATGGACTCGGAGGAGTTGGGATTGATGACTAGAATCTTTTTACCAGCCATAGCTGTGTTTATTTGAGATTGATGAGTTTATTGTGATCTTAAAAGGTCTTATAATTCTTTTATTGTTCACCATTGAATTAGGTTTCTGGACGTAAAAAAACTTGGCAGCCTCGTCGGCGGCCGCGGGAAAAGAGCGCCTCGCTACGGTTGCCTGTTCTGCCAACGTCGTCACCCAGACCCGTCAGCTTGGACCCCACCAACCTCCTCTCCTGAAGGACCACAACCCCTCCATCTCCAACGCATTACGACTTTCCACGACCTGCACGACCTGCAATCATGGCGGAACCTCCAATAGGTATGTTCACCAGTATCTCCAATCTGTAGCCGACTGCTAACGTCCATCCCACAGTCCTGGACGGAGGAACCGGTTTCCTCAAGGTTGGCTACGCTGCACAAGTATACGCCTGCTCCTCATCCATTCCCCGGCAGGCCACTAATCTGACGTCCCTGCACAGAACTTCCCTGAATTCCAATACCCGTCCATTGTCGGTCGACCGATTCTGCGATCCGAAGAGAAGGGCAACGATGGCCTGGTTATCAAAGACATCATGTGCGGAGACGAAGCAGCAGCGGCGCGAACTATGCTGCAAGTGTCATACCCCATGGAGAATGGTATCGTGAAGAAATGGGACGATATGCAACATCTATGGGATTATACTTTCTACGAGAAGATGAAGATTGATACCACGGGGCGCAAGATCCTGTTGACGGAGCCGCCCATGAACCCGCTGAAGAACAGAGAGCAGATGTGCCAGGTGATGTTTGAGAAATATCAGTTCGGCGGGGTGTACGTCGCAATCCAGGCTGTGCTGGCACTTTATGCGCAGGGTATTTCACCTTCATCTAGGCTTGTTGGGTCAATGCTGACTTGGAATAGGTCTCAGCTCGGGAGTTGTCGTTGATTCCGGAGATGGAGTTACCCACATTGTTCCCGTCTACGAATCGGTTGTCCTCAATCACCTCACCCGCCGTCTAGATGTCGCCGGGCGAGACGTGACACGCAACCTGATTGCGCTTCTCCTCCGCCGCGGATACGCCTTGAACCGCACAGCCGATTTCGAAACTGTGCGCCAAATCAAAGAGAAGCTTTGCTACGTTTCATACGATTTGGAGTTGGATCAAAGATTGAGCGAAGACACAACCGTTTTGGTTGAAAGCTACACCCTTCCAGATGGTCGTGTGATCCGAGTTGGCAGCGAGCGTTTCGAAGCCCCCGAATGTCTCTTCCAACCCCATCTCGTCGATGTCGAACAACCTGGTATCGCCGAGTTTCTATTCAATACTATCCAAGCTGCCGATGTCGATGTTCGGTCTTCGCTCTACAAAGCCATTGTTCTCTCGGGTGGAAGCAGCATGTATCCAGGCTTACCGTCACGGTTAGAGAAGGAGTTGAAGCAGTTGTGGCTGACGAAGGTGCTGGGCGGAAACCCAGAGAGATTGAATAAGTTCAAGGTTAGGATCGAGGATCCACCGCGGAGGCGGCATATGGTTTTCTTGGGGGGTGCTGTGCTGGCCAATATCATGGCCGACAAGGAGAATATGTGGATCACCAAGAAAGAATGGGAGGAGCAGGGAGCCACCAGGTCCTTAGAAAAGTTAGGTCCGAGGTAGGAAAAGCCCTGTATTTCGTGGCAGACATTCATTCAATTGCTTTATAAATCGACGGCTTCTCTCCCTTTCTGCCTTGGTGACGCTCCGCTGGCCCTCCGGGGCCATTACCGTGGAGACGATCCTGTTTGGTTTGATGGAGGAAGACTTTTCTTCTTCCCGTTCCTGTTTGAAAGATTTGGCATGCGTCACTTGATGTTCTCCTTATTTGAGGCAAATATTCATTAATTTGCCAGCTATGCTCTTGTTCTCCGCCTTCTCGGAAACGCTCAAAATCTTGCAATTCATAAGGCACCCATCTTGGACCCTCTTGGTAGCGAATAATTGTACAACAAAATGACTGAGTTCTCACGACAGCTCTCGCCAGGGCACTCCGAAACTAGCAAATATTCCTGCAACAGAATGGCCAAGCTCTCGTGACAACTCTCGCGCAGCTCCCGCCAGAGCACTCCGACAGCTCTCCCACACTCCTTGCACTGCTCGCCTCGGCAACCCCCAACCATCAAATAACTCTGCAGAAGACTGACTGATATCTCGCAGAGTCCTCCTCTCACTTCTCCAAACCATCAAATAACTCTGCAACACAACGATGGAGCGCGCACAGCTCTGGCCAAAGCTCTCAAGACTATAAGGACATCTTCCCAGATCGCAACAGAAACAGAATAGGCATGCAATGCAACTCGTGAGCATAATTTCAGTACCTTTCGGAGGCGTCATGCTGACGATATTCGTAATGGCCATCCACGTCTACCAGGGTACTCTAGAGTACTCTCGATGCAGGCACAAGGATGCTGCGTTCGTTTGTGGTTAACTACTCAAGATCTCCATAGTGAAGTCTTTGATCTCTTCAGGCGTGCATTCGTGGCCTCCTTGAGGTCTCTTCAGATGCGCACTCATCTCAGCATCTGTTCCAATCTCCTTGCCTGGTGCAGCTCTCACACAATCCTCGAAGGGACAGAGGCGTTTTCACCATACGAAGGCTTTCTTCTTCCCAGGGACGTACTTTGCGGCATCTTCCTTGCTCAATTTGTGCGTGTATCCCACTCATACTCTACTCAACACTCATAGAGTATAGACTTAAATAATGTAACGGCTCTGGCTGGCATTTGTTGAAATTAGGGGCCTGAGGCCCCTAATAGGCTCAGTAAGCCCTGGAACCGAACGCCATGGGGCTGTGCACTAGCTTAATACCCTGTCCAGCTGGAATACCCTGTATAGCTGGAATACCCTGTATAGCTGGAATGCCCTATACAGCTGGAATACCCTGTATAGCCAGAATACCCTGTACAGCTGGAATACCCTGTATAGCTGGAATGCCCTATACAGCTGGAATACCCTGTATAGCTGGAATCGGTTCAGCTGGCATAGGGGTTTAGTGCATGTGATTTAGGGGGTTCAGGGCTACTTACCACTGTAGAACAGCAGTCAATTCAGTACGTTTTACTTGGTTTACATTACAAGCACGTGACCCTAGCTATTATTAAGCTAGTTCAACAGCATTATATGGAGTAGGCTGTCACCTAACTAGTTTCACCTGTCAGGCCAGGGTTTCAGTCGTTTTAGCCAGTACTTCTTCTCTTTTAGCACACACACACTCTCTCTTCTTCTCTTTAGCTTTGTATTCTATAAGACAGGAAATAGGGACTTTTGCGCTCGTTCCAACTGCTCTAGCTCTGCCATTACAACTAACTTAAGTAATGAGCTACATACTTGCACATATTATAGTAAGAGAGTCTCTTACCTTAATTATTAGTTTTAAATTTACTTTAAAAGGTCTTAATATATTTTAAGAACAGGTAAAAATTAAAGTAAGCCGTATATTTTTCTCTTTTCTTTAATTTATTATTTAAAAGTTATAAAGAAAAGATAATAATAATAAAGAAAGCAAAGAAAGCCAATAAAGAAAAGAGCTATATAGTAATTATAATATAAAGAGAAATATCTAATAAATTACTTACATAATATATTTCTTAAACTACTTATATATTTAACTCTATTTAACTCACGCTTAGTTGAGGAAGCCTTATTTATACTCTACTAACTAATTAATGAGTATTGCTTAAGTAACTTAAGTAGTTTGAGTATTCCCTTGACACACTGCGTATAGTTCTCTCGTTTTCCGAAACCTGTGGTTCGAGTGCAGTTGGGAACCTTGCAAAGCATGGAGGCATCCCAATCGGTGTTATGACAATGAAGTTTGTGGTCATGCCAGTCTTGCCCTTTTTGGTACCGCTTTCCATCGCTACAGCCAAGAGTGCACTGCCGAGCCTTGAAGTTGCGGTCTCGCTCGTGCCGATCTCTGTGGGAAGTGTCCTTGAAAGTCTCGGTACACTCCATATTTTTCTGGCATTTGTAGATTGCTGCCTTCGGGGGTTTGTCTGGAGAGATCTTCCAGTTTCTCGTGTGATCACCAGTCTCCTCAGAAGCCTCGGAGTGCTGTAATCGCAGCCAGAGGTCTCGTTGTGACGGTAGAACGGGAAGCGCGACGAGAAAACTTTGCTTTTGCGAATGGCTACCCAGGTGCTAGCAAGCTCTCAAACTTCTCTTGACCACGGTCTGCTGCGGTGTCATTTCTATGACATTGATTCTCATGAATCTCTTGACAAGATAGATGGCGTTTTCAGCCTCGTCTTCACTGAGCTGCGCAGCGTCGTCTCCGTTATAGTCAGAGGTCATCCCCTTAGTGGAAATGGACGGCGTTGATTTAGCCGCAACTTCTGTTAGCTAAGCTGTGCGCTCGGAAGTGCTGAGTATGATAGAGTCCGCTTTGCTGGACGAAGTTGTGCCAAGAATTTGATGGGTGTCTGATCGAGCAGTAAGCGATGTTCCAGAGGGCTTGTCACGGGCTTGATGGTACTTACTAGGTTTCTGAGGTGCGGAGACTGATCTAGCTTCCTCGTTCTTCATCACTTGTCGCCACGCCTTCCTAACGTAAACTGTGGCTCTCCTCTTGGCCAAACGGTCTGGCGGGTCCAAGCTCCGACTCTCGCAGAAACCGGATAGCTCTGCAGCTGTCCTTGACTTCGGAGTAACATGTGTATTTCCGATTATTGAGCACGAGTGCGAATCCAAGAGCTCTCTGCTGGTAGACCCCAAGTCGAGACATTACCACCCCCACCGTACATCTCAGTGACATTCTTGGTGAACGATGCCATTGTGTGTCTAACGGAAGGTTCTAATTTAGCTGAGGCATTGCCACGAAGAAGATTGATGAGATAGGAAGACTGATGAGACAGATCCGCCACTGAATTACGACGGAGATCTTCAGGCGTGGTCTTCACTCCGAGTCGAGCTTTCAAGCTCATCGCATGCATGCTGTGCCGAGTTTGGCTAGTGGTAACAGCAGGATTGTCGAGATCTAGAAAGCTGCATCGTCCAGGAACGGTGCTTGGAATGATAGGTTGTCCGAAGTCGTCCACTGAGCCGTCCTGTCCGCACAACCCAGAGACAGCACTACAGTAAAACCTCGCTATAAGGATACTCGCTATAAGGATACTACCTTAGGATCCCAATAAAAATTAGCCCTGAGCTAAGGATATCCTCACTATAAGGATTATCCTTATGATTCTTTATCCCAGCCCTAATTTTTTGGTGTATTATCCTTATAATCGTGCACGTGATAGGCTAATTTACCGCTCCTGTCAGGCCTTCAGGCACAAGTAAAACCGCATTCTAAGCATTAATCTCACTGCTCCAGAGCCTTTACAGCCTATCACCCACCCACCCACTGATCCTATGCCCCCCCACCGATTCTATGGCTCCCCAACAGCCTAAAAAGAGACGCAGGGCGATAAAAATATTTGCACGTGATCCTCGATATAAGGATACCTCGCATTATCCTTAGTTTTTGGGGCCAATTTCGGTATCCTTAGAGCGTGGTTTTACTGCAATGCGAATCGCGTGGACAAAAAGCAACTTCACGGCACAAACACTGTTGTGGGCCTTTTCATTCAAGGTGTCTACCCTTAAGTGTCGGCCCTCGTTCTCCATATCCTTACGCATGATGTTAGCACATTCATGTCCGAAATGGGTGCTACCGATTTGTACTTGGAGAATTTGACAAAGCATAGGCAAACGTTCATCACCAAATGCTCATCTTGCTGTCCTCCAGCGTATTGTACAGTTAGGTCTGCGAACGTGATGCCTCTCATCCCTTTGTAAAGCGGAGCGGACAATAGCGCCGCCGCGCGTGGCAAAGGCAGAGGCCAGGACGATGCTGAGGAACTTCGAGAGATACGTGTCCCAGGAGAGAACTTCATCTGTCAGGCCTACCAAGAACCATGCGTTGGCGACTGCGAGCACAGTCTAGAAGCCCACACGGTTGTACTTTCTCCATTTCCTTAGCCCCTCTGTCACGAGCCAATTCAGAAGGGACTCGATATTGATACTATTGTGAGCTGTCATCTTGAGGTCTGTGTATCTGCCAGACAGTGTATCAAATGAGTAGAGTAGAGTAGAGTAGAGTAGTGGGTCCTACTCATACTCTACTCAGCCAAAAGATGTCCTACTTATGCTCTACTCAATACTCATTGAGTATATACTTAAGTAACTTAAGTAGTGAGTCACGTGCAAGCACGTATCCTTATAAGGGAGTCCCCCGACTTATTTATTAGCTTTAAATTTACTTTAAAAGGTTATATTATATTTAAGAGTAAGTAGAAGTCAAAATAAGTCCCATATATTCCCTTTCTCTTTGACTTATTATTTAGAAGTCAAAATAACACGTGATTACTATATGAATTTTCACTAGTATTAGAGGAATTTTAAGTAGTAAAAAAGATAATAAATGTAGAGAAAGATAATAAAGAAAAGAATTAAACAGTATTAATAATATAAAAAGAGATATTTAATAAAATAAACCACGTAATGAGTAGTTAAACTACTTAAGTAGCCTACTCTACTTTACTTAAGCTTAGTTATAGAGGGGCTACTTATACTTTACTCAATACTCAATAAGTATATACTTAAGTAATTTAAGTAGTTTGAGTATTCCTTTGACACACCGCTGCCAGAGAGGACCACGGAACAACAACGCAGAACGTTGCCGACGACAATGAAAGTTGAGAGGAGGCGGAAGAAAGTTGCAAGAACGTGACGCAAAAACTCACTAAGCGAAAGGGGATGCAACAAGGGACAGGTGTGTCGGGGAAATCGCCATAGGCCGTTCCTGCCTTACAGTCCCAAAAGATGCGCTGCAACGGAGCAGAACAGCTTGAAATGATGCAACTTGGCAGCGCCAAGTATCCGAGATGTCGGCAGGCATGGCGGACGTCAACTGGCTGGGACGATCTTGCCGTGGAGAGAAGAAAGTCTGGCTGAAAGTAAAGGAATCTCTACGTTACAAGAATTTTGGGAAAGCTACCTACAGAGGGCGTAGAGAAGGGGCTCATCTCTCCTCAGTATTCTGAAATCGATGGCATACAGTCTCGCAACGCATACACCCACTAGTGCACGCACTTGATGCTTGCAAACGTAAAAGAAGGGATTGAATTTCGGGGCTGAGGGGCAGATACCAAGTCACACTTATACAAACATAGCTGGCAGGCATTTTCTAACCTTATATCTCTTTATTCCTGCCCTGTCCATGTCCTGCCATGTGCTTCTTCCCAATCCCCCCCATCTTTCCCACCATTTGCAATTGGTATGGATATCCCTAAACATCTCTTTCTCGCTAGCCGCAATGTGCTATTGCTCATCCAATGATATGAATTATGCAGAGCAGTAAATATCATTACAAACCTACCTCGCTCCTGGTTCATACTCTCCGATTTCATCAACACGAACAGGAAGTTCGCCAAGTAATTGACAGCAAAATGCGATTCGAATTCATCCACTGTTATTACCTTGCCTTCGACATGCTGCACTGCTGAGTTGAGGACTAATGTCTGTATTGGCGGAATCTCTCCGGATGAAACCCGTTTATTGAGCCAGGCAGCAGCAACAGGAACGCTGTCCAATGTACTGGGATCGACGGTGAGAAGTTTGTAATGTGATCGGTGTGTGGAGGACAGGATATTTGGGATATTTTGAGCAGTGGATGGGTCTCGAACTGCATAGATGCCGTAGGAGGACTGCTTGACGAGTTGAGAGACAAAGGCATTTCCAAGATGCTACAAGAAGTATGTACAAGCGCGAGGATTCCGTCAGAATTTGAGAGGCTCGGGAAAAGAGACGCTCTTATATCAGAGGGTACGAGAACTGTGCGGTTGTTGACACTGGACTTGGATCACCGATCCTCAGATCGACAACAAGTAAGTGCACCGATGTCCACGGGTCTCTCTCACCGTTAAATCCACTCCAGACAGTGGGCCGGTTAATGGTGCTGTCTCGAATGCCTTCTCACAGGTTCAAACGCCCCTCTGTGCGTCCACATCGATTCCGATTTCCCCACAGAATCCACGGCATATACAATCAATCGGACTGTCGAGTTTGGACTTTCGGGGGGGGGTATCGCAGAGTCTCGAAATGGTGTTTTTGCCCTCGAATTCCTGCATTGCCAAAGTATGTACACGCGCTACGCAAGCCACCTTCTAATTGCTTCTCTCTCCCCCTTTCGCTGCCCTCAACTCGTCCATCTTCGCAACTCGCTTCTTGAATTCCTCGTACTGGCACTTCTCGTAACTATGTCTCTCTGTCTGCGATCCCCAAAGTATTAGCCAATCTGTCGCGGATCATCTCCCCGGCATGCCCCCGACAAGTACCAACGCACCTCGCACTTCCACGGCAAGTAGTATTCTTCGTATCGACATCGATTGAGCGGTATGAGGAGGTTTGCACAGCTGTCGCGGTATGCCAGGGGTAGTCTGGCTTCACTCATGGCTTCTCGAGTTGCAGCTGCAAAGGTTAGCACGGCCGAGGGAAAAGCTTCGGAGGTACGTACGAGCTGGTTTCGAGTCGCCGAGGCCAACGGCAGATTTGACAGCTTCGGTGACGGTCATAATGGCGATTGAAGTGATGTGGGGTGGGGAGGCTGCGAGCTTGAGGTCGGCTCCCTGTGCAAGCTTCAAGTCTGGCTGCTAGCGCAGTGGCTGACTCAGCATTTCAAATGGACAAAAAAAGCGGCACTGGATTCAATGTCCCAAGTCACACTGAGCGTTGTTGCAGATAGCTCCTCAACAAATGTTCGCACCGAGATATGGTACATTTAGAGTCCACGGCCTTCGAACATCCCTGAGTTCCAACCTATCAACTCCCAGCCACATCTACCTTTTAAAATGAAATGTACAACTTCGACCGGGGACATCTAAATGAGTGCTGCTTTTTCTGGCCACCATAAATCCCATGAGGCGTGAATCTAGAGATCAGAGGAGCTGGATCTAGACAATCTCATCCATCTCAAATTCCCCTATCTCCATTCAACAGCCATAAACTTCTGCAGGACCGATATCATCCACGGGGACTCCACTACCCGGTAAAACACTGGAAATTTGATCCCCCAAGGCTGACGTGCCTATGGAAACAAATTCGGCGCTGGGAGGCCCAGGCAAGCTTCCAGTAAATGGCTGGACAAGGAGAGATAGGCCCTGCGATGCATGCAGGAGACGCAAGAGCAGGTGCATTATTCCTCAAGATGCAGAGATATGTATTATGTGTCAGTCGAGGTCGGAGGAGTGCACATTTATTCAAAATCCTCAGCGGCGAAAACGTAGGAGAGCAGAGGATGAGAATAGCCCCGACGCCACGAGACCAAGGTACGGCTCGGACGATGATCGACGGCTGCATGGCATATTGGAACTAACTGCTGCCTTAGATCTCCAGATTCCGAAAGAAGTAAGGTGATCAGCCTTTTCGAAGAGCATTGACTGACTCCTGTTCAGATATCCAAGCAAAACCTCCCATCAATGATTACACTTCCCTTCCTGGTCCCTCCCTCCTGAAGCAAACTCTCGGCCTCCAGAACCGGCAACATGGCCAATACTTAGGCCAGACTTCCGAATACGACGTCCGTCTCATCAATCTCTCACCATTCAACGGCCGTGGGGAGTATGTCAGCACTCCTGGGACGCTACGCCGTGTTAGTCACCACAATCACTTTCTCATGAAGTCAGAAAGTCAGGCCGAAGTTGACGACGAATTGTCCAATCTTGACTTGGTAGAAAGTATCATTCAACCCCATGGCCGAGCCCTTGTCGATCTCTACTTCCGGATCATTCATCCCAGCTTTCCCATCATGAACAAGAAAGTATTCCTCGAGAAGTATGAGCGCACATACCGAGAATTTACGCCTCCAATATTAGCCGCAGTCTATATATTGGCCTTGAACTGGTGGTCGTACACGCCCGAATTGGTCAACCTGCCTAAGCCTGATATCCAAAAACTGGAGAAACTCGTACCCCAGATGATGAGCGACGTCTTGAATCGGCCGAAGCTCTCGACAGTCCAAGCAGGCTTGCTGCTACTGCAGCGACCTGATGGCGACTCTTGGGCTCTGACGGGACAACTGGTAGCGGTGGCGCAAAACCTTGGTCTGCACTTGGATTGCTCCAATTGGAAAATACCTGAATGGGAGCGGAGTCTGAGGAAGCGTCTAGCATGGGGTTTGTTCATGCAAGATAAGTGGGGTGCTTTGATACACGGAAGGCCCTCGCTAATTTATCTCGACAACTGGTCTGTCAAACCTGTAGAGGCGAGAGATTTCCCGGAATCTTCCGAGGACGATGACGAGGAAGAAGGAAGCTCTGATATCGAGACGGGTCATCTGACGTTTATCAACATGATTTCCTTGACTGAGATCTTGACTGACATTCTGGATACATTTTTCACACTGCGAGCCACGGCAAATCTGAGCAATGAACGACAGAATGCTATGACGATCACGCTTGAGAAGGCAAAACCGATTCAGCTGAGGCTCAAAGATTGGCATGCGAGGTTGCCACAATGCTTGGCCATTGGCGAGACGCGGGCGAGGAAGCTTTCCCCAACTGGTAGGTTATTCCAAGGCACCATTAGCAACTGACATCTTAATTTACCTCCAGGGTCACTCCACCTCTCCTACTTTGCAGCTGAAGTTACTCTTCATCGTGCAATAATTCGATTTGACATTCCAAGCCTGGATAACCATCTGCGGTCGATTACTCGTGGAGCAGCTAGAATGCGGTTTACTTCAGCCATCGAAATGGTAAACACACTTGAACCTGCACACCTACAATGTTTCTGGTATTTCTCTTCCAAAGTCAACCTCGCCATCATTGCAACATTTGGGAGTCTGTTATGGGCCACCAGCGACAACTCCGAAGAGGCCGAGTTCTACAAGTCGCAGCTGGCAGAGTACAGGTGGGCCTTGAGAGTGAGCAGCAAGGCTGCAGAATTCATGAAATTCACAGTTGGGATGCTGGATGCTAGTCCTGTCTTTTTGAAAAACAGTGCGTCAAAATCATCCAAAACTACTACACCGGCGGTGCTTCCAACCCAGGAGGATATTCAAGAGGCTCATCAAGAGCAACAAGCCTTCGAAATCCACACCAGTCAACCAATGCATGACTTCAACTCTGAAATGTACGGTGTTAGCAATGAAGTTTCTCCCAGCATCGGGACATCGACGGAAAACGCATTTGGCTACGAGATGGGCACAGAAGCAGGGGTGACTGACCACATCGACACCCGGCCAAACTGGGCAGATCTTGCAGGGAACATCAATTTTACTCCGGGCGATATTCAGGACTGGTCACTGGACCAATTATACAACTTTGAAAACTTCCAGGTCGCCGAAGACATCTTAGCGACTCGAAAGTTTATCGAAGAGTACGACGAGACTGGGAACAATTTTGCTGGGTTTTAGGTACATAAATATACACAGGCAAGCTCTAAAGATGGAGCCGCCATCGGGTAGACTTGGTCCTCACGTAGAGAGCGCTACCATGGGTTAGACAAATTACCAGCCCCCAACTACCGAATACAATGTGCATCCTGCTCCTGGAACATTTATGATGGCCATCGATCCAGTGGTGGCTTGGTAGCCCTCAAACAGCTCATCTGAGTCGAGTATGAGCCACTATCTGCTGGAAACTGGAGGAGCAAGATGGGCCAGATCCAAGCCGCTGCGGTTTCGTAATAGGTGGTGTTGGCAGGAACATGTGGAGAATCCTCGAAATCGAACAACGCATTGCCCTCTGTTTCATTCGCTTGAACGAAATCTGTACATTTTAGTCTATACCCAGGTTCTTAGATGGGATGCAAGACACGTACTGTGTGATATCGTGGCTACCATGAACAAACCTTGACAAGAAGGCGGTATGGATGGAATTATCATGTCACCACACACGCTGATTGAGGCATTATGATTGGGTGCCGAAGCTCTGGCCTGCGAAATGGCACGAATCCAATCATCCTCACACTGCTGACCGAATGTGGCAAGGCAGTCACCGTCATCCTTCCATCCCCTAACAATTGCATTCCGCGCGTCCCAGCTTGAGTTCGCAACAAAGGCGCCGTGCGAGTTGAAAGAGGTCATACCGTCACAGAGCTGGAGACTGGCTGCCCATCCGCATCGCCCGTTCCAGATACTTCAGTGATGTTGATTGCTGCTGTCCACACCTCCGGCTCGACCCCATCCGACGGCTTGTTTGTCATATTCACCCCAGTTAAAGAGACAGAACGTGTTGCGTTAGGGTGGAGGGCAGCGGCCTTGTATAGGGCTAGATCATCGTAGGAGTTCTGGGCGACGGCCCGTTGGAGGAGGAATGGCCGAAGAAGCGAAAGAAAACCAATGTACTTCACAGTTTCAATGAGTCGAGGAAGGATGGGCAGAGAACCATGTGAAGAGATGCGAGAATGAAGGGAGGTATTATGGGAAGAAGTCGGAGGATATACTTATAGAGGCGAATGTTTTGATGATAATTGATAAATAAAATGTCTGACTTGACAAAACTTGGCAGTGCAACAAACTAGCTCGCTGAGCAATAAAATGGGGATCTGACGGGTGCTGTGACGGTATGGAATGCAACTTCATATATTTAGGTCATAAATCAAGTTTAGTGTGTAAGATCGGGAGCATTTGTTATTGCTCTACAAAGAAAAGGGCGCGAAGCTGAAAATAGAAGACAGAGCGAAAAAGCATGCCGTATAAACGCTCAGCATGGTGGCGCCAAGTAGTCCTCGACATGATACGATCACCCGAATCGAAGTCATGAACGTGTATTCATCACGTGACCGTAGCTGATAATGCCTCCATTCATCACCGCATTTGCTTGAAACCCAAAACTAGCGGGACCAACCATTGAAAGGGAATACGAGAATCCACTCCACTTGGGCGTACAGGCGCGCTGTGAAGATGCGTGAACACATACAAGATGAATAGAATAGACATGATCGACTAAAATGGGTATTGTAGTAACAGACATTACTCAACGGCTACAATCTCTCATACTCTAGATGCGCCCCTCATCCGAGCAGATCAGTCATGTTACCAAAAAGCTGGTCCCATTCCGGGTGCTAGCAGGGGATGGAGTGGAATGACGAGCAGCGGGGGTGTGCACAACGGTTTGATTGTCAAGGTCACAAGCGGGCGTGAAATCCCGGCTCATTCGGGATTTTTGGTACATTCCCGAGTGAAAGCGCGAAGAAGACCCTAAAATTCCGATCGGTCAGACGCATGATTTGGAACGGGCCGACAAACTTACCATAAAGCTATGATCTGCCATTGAGCCAAAGATTGGATGATTGGAAAGCTTCATCTTAGTCCCCCTCGGACTTGCTATACCAAAGGCGATCCGAGCCAGGAACCTCGCGTCGTCTCGATCAGGAATGTGTTCAAGTACAGCCTTGAATGCAGGAAAGTTGAATTTGACCGGCGGTGGAACCTGCTGGACGATAGCAGTCTTTGTCATGCACCATGTACAGCGGCCACATTCTGTCTTGCCATGTGGCAGATTGTCCCCAAAATGTTGCGCAAGGGCTCGGGAAAAGCACGCCTTGTCAGTGATGAGCTGAAGCATTTGGTTGGTTCGGTTTAATGCTTCCTGTTCCCGTTTTTCCATCAATTCATAAATTTGGTCCACATACTTCTCGATTGCAGGGCCCGTTCGGGGTAAAGGCTGAGTGATCTTGTAGACATTCTGCACACCTCCAGTTTTCAGCTCGATAACCCCGCCCTCATCCAAGTCATTGAGTTTTCGAATGATGTCCGTCCGAGGCAGTTTGGAAATCATTAGTGAATCCACGTCAATGTTGTACCAGGTCTTTGCCTTTTTACCATACTTCTTGATTGCCGCGGCTGCTGGAGACTTGTCTGCCTCAAGTACCGAGTCATAACGAGAGCTGACCTTGTAGGTATACTTTGTATATACTGGTGTGGTTGCTCGAATGAGGTTGTGCGTGAGCTCGAGCTGGGCATATGTGTTTTTCAGGGTCGTTAATCGGATATCGAAATCTCTTGCTTGATCGTAGTGATTAGTTCTGATTTCGCCTCCTACGGGGAGGGAGACATTGGTAGAGTGGAAGATATCTTGCAAAAGACTACGGAGCGATTCACGAGAAGGAAGATCGCCTCGTGCGAACATCTCTCGCAGGTGAAGATCTTCCCCGCAAACGTAAAAGACGCATTTGCTTAGCTTGCCATCTCTTCCTGCCCTGCCAATTTCCTGACTATAAGATTCCAAGCTACTTGGAATGTTGAAGTGGACAACATTTCGTATGGATGACTTGTCGATACCTGGATAGTTTTGAAGTCAGCACTGATTGATTAGAAGAACGAGAAAACATTCCGTAACAGTAAGTTTGGAGAGAGAGGGGTGATTGCGTGGGGGGGTAGGGAAACACGGAAATATGCATACCCATCCCGAATGCAATGGTCGCTACAATCACCAATTCTTCCTCTCTCATGAACTCGTCCTGCAACTGGGTCTTGGTTCCAGTTTCCATTCCGGCATGAAATGATCTCGCCTTGAATCCCTTTCTGCGCAGTTCCGCAGCAAGCTCTTCAGTTTGCTTCTGTAATGTGACATAGACGATGGTCGCTCCTTTGTTGTTCTTCAAGAAGTTGAAAAGAGAAGGGTACAACTCTTGCTTGGTCTTCCCGGATTCAGCGAGTAGTTGGAGATTCGGTCGGTATGTGGATGTGCGAAACAGGCCCTCGGTCTCGTCGATGTCGAATGCTTTGCAGATATCCCGAGCAACTCGTGGAGTGGCCGTCGCTGTGAGGCAGATTACGCGTTCGGCATTGATTTCTCGGGCAAATCGAGCAATTTCTGTGGAGTATTAGCAGGAAGCTTGTAAGGGACGGATCGGGCAGCTGACTGAGATAATCTGGACGGAAAGAATGGCCCCACTCAGAGATGCAATGTGCCTCGTCAACAGCAAGAAGTCTGATTCCTCCTCGAACATACTTCATTTGCTCAACAAATCCCTCGTTATTCAGCCTTTCAGGCGCACAGTAGAGGATTTTGAGTTCTCCATTTCGTAACATCTCGCATGTATGCAGGTATTCTTCTCGAGATTTCGATGAATCAAATGTAGCGGCTTTGACTCCTCGCCTCACAAGAGCATCAACTTGGTCCTTCATCAAAGCTATGAGTGGCGAGACGACCAGAGTAATTCCACTCTCGCCTTGACCACGAGACCCTTCATCGACGTCGGAAAAAACCAAGGCTGGAATTTGGTAGCAGAGACTCTTTCCTCCGCCAGTTGGAAAGACAACTGTGGCGCCATCACCTCCTAGTATCCTCGATATGACTTGCTTCTGTTTCAATTGGAAGTCTTTGAAACCAAATGTTTGTGTGAGTGCCGCCTCTGCGCATGGGAAATCGAGCGTGGGTCTTTTGGGTGGAGGGCCATTGTCTTCGGCAGACTTCCTCTTTGTGCCGTGAGGGCCGATGGCATCCGCGAGTGCAATGAGGTCTGCATCGTCGATGTCGTCTGCGAGAGCGAGGAGCTCTGCGTCGTCGTCGGAATCAAGGCCAAATTCGTCATTCTCAGGATCCATGGGCGGGAGCACGTTGAAGCAGAGATCGCGCCGAATTTAGGTCCTGCAAGCTATCAGGTCAGTTCCGTAGATCTTTTCGATCTATCGCCTCTGCTTGGTCATGCATCAATTGAGCAAAAGCAACACGATGGTTGTAGGTGGTGATGGGCAGAAGTTCAGATGTCGTGGAAATAAACTCGCGTTCTGAAGACGCGAAAACAGTGTCGATTTTAGTTCTAGCGCGTGATCATGTGCAGAAGTTGAATCCCTTTTCTGCCCCCTCTCTCCTCGCCTTTCTCTTTCTTTCTTGATCATACATCGCCGAGAACACTTTGCACAAACTTTGGTACCGACGGGAAGTATCACGATCTCAGATCCGACCATTCAATCCCCAGGGATCGATACAGATGTGTCCCTAAGTAGGGCTGAAAGTCCATCCTTAATTGCCCAATTCTTGCCCGTACTCAGGACTCTGAAACGAACATCCTACACCGATATCAGTGGCAATAATGACCATTTTGCTCCATTCCAATTAGTAAAACGCCCTGCCATAAAAGACGATGCCGGCAGTCATTCTATACTCGCAGTCAGACCTAATTTCTAACGAGCCCCGCCGGCGACTACGGACGAGGGGCTTTCATAATATAATTCCCGTTCATCCACTCTCTTTTCATCCAAAGATGGTTTCCAATCAAATTAGATCCGGATTATGTCCCGGCAAGCTCCATATATTGTTTTGATGAACTATGTTGATCCTTGAATTTATACGTAGTAGTTCGTTTCGCTCACGGGACACGGGTGAAGTCTTCCTCATGGATCCAACCCCGCGATTGGGTTTAGATAAGAGCCCACTCCGGACCCTACATCGATGCAGGAACAGAACATTTGTCTGCAGGAACAGTCGTTTCAATCACATCATCATGAAGCTCAATATCTTCCTGCCTCGCATTTCTGTAGCTTCGGCTGCGAGCTATTGCCCCTCTCGCCCCGCACCCTCCGCCGAACAAATCTCCATCTTTAACGAATTTCGTTCAAAAATTCTACTACGCCAAGAAACATCAAGGCCGCATTTGTGGACTATTTTAGCCCAAGCTGGATCGAGCACCGTCGAGCGTGCCCTCCTTAGGCGAGGACAAGCTGTATATATATTGCTCCGTACACACCATCGATTGATCAACATCCTCTCCGCAGGGAATCGAACCCAGATTGAAAAGCTGTACATATATTGCTCCGTGCACACCTGCTCTCTCAATACAACATTCTCTCCTCCAATTATCTGGTTCAACCACTAATGTAGCCTTCTCCACTCTCATTTGTAATGTGTCACTTGCGGAGCTTATTAAACGCTCACTAATATATAGTCATCTACTTTTATCAGCTGATTTATGATGTATCGGAGAAATCGTGCTTGGAACCACCCCTATCGCCGAATGCTAATGGGGTTAGGAACATAGCTTTGGATACCTTTCTCTCTCCTTTTACACTTCACTCCGCTTGTACTTAGTCATTTAGGCCTTGTCAATCATTAATATTATTGGGTTTGCTGCCTCCATATTGTTCCTATTTCAATAGGTGGATGTGAACATAATTTCAAGACTTTGAACCATCGGGAAAGGAAATAAAGAAGCCCTACATTCTCTGTTTACAATCCTCCACCACGAGTACGTGTTCCAGTTCTCACCACACAAGTTTTCTCTTGTTATTCTATATGCAGAATATTCGTGGTCTATTATTTGTCCGTGGACAATTCTCTACTCACCGAGGATTTGTTTTTGATTTCCTCGGGTCCTCCTCACACACCTGCACAAACGGCGTGAACCCCAGATTCGGTCTATACTAATAATTCAACCGCTAACACGGCCCGGCTAGAATTAGGTTCACGTCAACGAAGCATTCGCTCAGCGGGATGCATTGAATCAGAGGCCGCTTGCTGCCACGATCGTCCTAGTGAGGGCTTTCAATTAAATAAACAATTATTACCTCAATGTTTTCGTCACACTTTTCACAATGAAGAGCACACCCCATGTATCTTCTTACCATATTCTATATAACGCCCTCTCTATCTAAGAAGAAATATGTTACAGGTTCTATCTATTCCGGCCTTTGCCCCAATACAATATTTCTAAGGGAGTCAGTTAAAGTTGTCATTCATAACCGAACAAAGCAAAAGGTAACTTACACTGTAACATAGCTATGAATGCTCTTGTTCTTCAAATCCTTCCTCACGTCCACTAAGAAAGACTGCACCTCTTCAGGTTGCCAACCCAACACGCGAGTAAACATCGCCATCGTGAAACCCTCAACACCGTCCTGTGCATTAACGAGCGTCCACAAACCTAAGGTTTTATGCTTCTTATCCTTGGGCCAGGGGTTACACGGCCATTTGTAAACAACATGCTGGACATTGACGAAGCCTACGCCTTGCATCCACTCCGCGTATTTGGGGGGATTATCCAAGCTTTGGCCAATGCGCTTTGAGGCTTCTAGCATGAAGTGCGTCCACTTGTGAACGGCATGGTCTGGGGTCATGGTACCATCGTCGCAGGCGATTGGGGTCGAGGTCTCCTGCATTTCTAACCAGCCACCCGGCTTGAGATTCCTTTTTGAGGTTTAGTCAGTATAATCTGGAAGATTTGGGCATAAATACCGTAAAGCTTGCTTCATCAGTTTCTTCTCCTCGACGGCGCAGTGAAGTTGTCGGGTATGGATGAAGTCAAACCTCTCTTTGAAAACCCATGGCTCCTTGGCATCATCGACTAGGAACGTGACATTTGCGGGGAGGCTACGATAGGTAAGCTAACGCAGCAGTTGGGGATATAGACAGAATAATCTAAAAGCTCCTAACAAGGTGGGCTGGATTGGGGAGAGGTCAGTGCCAATCACCACAGCAGATGGGTGTTCATCAGCTATTTAATGTCAGAACTCAGAACTTGGGCAGATTTATTGTATTGATGTGCACGGACCGAACTCGATAGCCCATAGGCCAGTTCCGGTCCCGACATCAAGGACGTTCTGGGAGTCCTTTTTGATTGGGGCCAAGAACAGCTTTCCGTCGAGGGTTAAGTTATACAAGTGATGCTGGAGATCTGCGGTACTATTAGTCATGAAATATATGGAGTGTTTTGGCTGTATACCTAGACGATTGGCCTCTGCCTGAGCGAATGTTAGTGCTCGATACTTGGAAGAGTGGCACAACTCACCTCATCGTTGGGGTAGGCGTATTCTAGGAGCGTTATTAGCGTGAGTGGGAACCAAGGGGAAAGACAGGGAGAGGCTTACGGCCATCTTTGTATGAATGGTAGGTGCGGCCATTTTCAACACGGTACTGTCTTATGCTACTTGAAACAGAAGTAGTTATGCTTTGCCTAGCGGAGTGAAGCTAATGAGCTTCAACGTCAGTATATATGGAGGGTCAATGCGTACTCATCGTCGTCGTCTCCGATTGCAGAATCGGCATCACTTTCCTGTTACCAAACCCGTTAATAAACCGCCCAATTGACTAAATTGACAGCACTCACATCCGCAACAAGATGAGTGCCTTGTGTTGGTGCCTTCTGGCCCTGCTCAGTAGCAACGGGAGAAATCGAGGCATGTTCCGCCATATCCAGCTCAAAGTAACCGGATTAGAAGGAATTTCTAGTTGCAAAATGAACTCGATTTTTATCCCTAATCTCTGGGATATCAAGGTGCAAAGTAAAGTGGGTACAGAGTAAATGCACAATGAACAACACGCAGGGCACGGCACTTCACGGATAATACCTGCCTCTCACCCCGGAGTTGACACCCTGGTAAGTAACCAGGAAAGATGACAGCACAGTCTGCGAGCAATGCAAGCCGCGGCCTCGAAGGCACTCCACTGAAGCATCCTCCACGTGTCCACGAATCATTTCTCGGCGCACGATCTTGACTAGGTAACCCGCAGTACGTAGTAGGGGGGTTCAATATTTGCTTTACCCGTATGCTGGAAAGGTCCGTCTTTGGCAGCGCCGAAGGTACGACCGCCACAAAGAATTTGGCCATTTCCCGGGCATTGCAGCTCATAGGTAAGCACCACATTTTACTCTTGCCGGTGTGACGGACCGAGTACAGAACAGTTTAGACGAGAAGCTGTTTGAACCCCACGTTCCGGCCCCACACTCGTCTAACCCCCACGTTAATACTGTACAGTATTCTCAGGGTCTCAAGCTTGCTTCCCTGGGACGGAAACTTTAGAACACAGGGCATTTTACAAAAGCCATACATCCTTGCAATGCTTAATTAAAGACTCTACAAGCAACGAAGAAACTCTCTTTAGCTAGCCTTGGAAAGAAACAAAGATTAAGGTTACTACTGTCCAATCTGGAGAAGGGCACGCAACGGAATTATTAGTATATTTAAACATTTTCCCAGTACTAATAATAAATAAAGAAAACTAGGAGGAGACGCTTCTCTACTGAGCTCTGTTCAAAGATGGAACAGACTCAGATAAGGATTTTGACAACAGAAAACTAAGTGAAAACAGAACCAAAGAGCCAAATTTTCTGCCTTATTTGAGAAATGCCACCAAAAGCAACTCATAAACCAAACTACAGTACCTCAGATTGAAGATCTACCTAAGGTGCTCTAGAAGCCTATTGTAGAGCAGGCTCGGTAACGATTGCTGAGTAATCGATTAGCAATCGATTATGTGCACTATTAATTAGCTATCGATTGTAATCGATTAGTAATTAATTACTAAACGATTATTCTACCGCTTTTACCCCGTATCCCCCCATTTTTTTCTTCTCTCTCTCTCTCTTCTTCTCTCTATTTTCCCTGCCTTGCATACTAATTTTTTCCAAAGATATTATCAAAATATCTTCTTTACTTGAACCAGATTTATCATTTATACGATCAGTTTTAGTAGATTCCACTCCAAGTACTCTAGATATATTAAAGTTAAGAGTACCTTATTAGGAATTTTATTATATTCCTACTCTAGATAATCTTAAGCAAGATATTCTTTATTATATTCTTTATAAAACTGAGCCATATAATATATGAATATTAAGAAATATAGGGGATTATTTAAGCCGCTACTACCAAATTATGATATTAAAGGCTAAAAGTAAAAGCCAAATTACTATAAACTAGTAACTCAAATAACTCTAGTATAAAGCTTAAGCTAAGAAGGGAAATAGGATTAAGGAGTTTAATAATAAGATCCTTGGAGCTTGTCTTAATATAGTAGTTATTACTAAAGCTCTAATCTCCCTGATTATTATACGGAATCTGTCTTTTACTCTCGTTAAATAGCCGGAATTTCATACCTTTTACCAAGTCCTAAATCGAGCTTATAAGGGCAAGATTATAACTTCTTACTCTAGAGTTTATAATAAAGTCAAAGAAGCTTGAGGAAAGTATAAGATTATTATATAAAAGATTCTTTAATTAGTAGTCTTACTTATTTATATTTCGCTTAATATTTGGACTTCCCTAAATTAATTACTTTTTCTAGTAGTTTATATATACTTTACTATATATAATTATAAGAGGCAAAAAGCTCTTCTTACTCTCTAGAAAGTACCTAGCTATAATAGAGAGAACTAGTTCTCTATTCTTTGCCCTATTCTTGAGAATTATAGTATTATACGAAAGCTTGGGGCTATTATTACTAATAATACTTCCTTAAATAATATTCTTTATTAATATATTTAAGCCTTCTTAGCAGAGTTATATAATAGGAAGTAGAATATAGAGAAATAGTAAGTTTACTATATTAGCCATATTATTAATCTTATTATCTAAGCCTTCCTATTTACGGACGTAATTAGAGTAGAAGAGCTTAAATTATATAATGGCTAGGAGAAGACTAGAGAGTATACGAATAAGGAAGTAATTAGGGCCAAGTTTAGGCTCTTAGGATTACTTGGCCAAGTATATAATATTATTATCTATATTCGTGAATTACTAGGCCATATAATAGCCTTTAAAGCTCTTATGAAAAGGCTAATTCTAATAAATAATTAAACGAGGTAGAATAGCTAGTATAATATGCTTTTTATACTTCTTAATTTAAGGCCTATAGTAGAAAAGTATTACCAGGACTATAAGGAAGAGCTAGAACTAGATCTTTTAAGCTACTAAGACTAGAAAAAGCTTTATATAATTAAGGAATTCCTTAGTTCCTTCTTACGAGCTACTTTTATTATAGAGGGAGATTCTATATCTATTAATACTATACTCTTTATAATAGATATTTTAATTAAATACTTGCAAGAAATAACTATAAGCTTATTTCTTTTTCTTTCTCTCTTTTCTTTCTTCTTTCTCTTTATTTAATTAACTTTTATAGGCTAAGTATAAAAAGAAAAAGGATAAAGAGAGCCAAGATTTCCTTTAATACCTGAATATTATATATATAGTACTTAATAAGTACTATATAAAGACAGATATATCTCCTATTTATACTACCGCTTTAATTCTAAATCCTATACGCCGTATGAGATATATTAAAATATACTAGCTAAAAAAGTAAGTAAAGCCAGTTCTACTAAGAGTAAAAAAGCTCTGGGAAAGGTATTGGGACGAGGGGCCATAAGCTCTAATTATTCTAACTACTAGCTCTTCTCAGGAGCCAGAAGCACTTGATACTTACGATCGGCTTGCCTTAGCCCTTTAATTAGTTACTAGGCTAGCAAGTAGGGACGAGTATATAGACTTTAATATAGAGGAATTATATAATCCTGGTAAAAAGAGGGCCCTTGCATGGTAGTGCCAAGATATGCAAAGGCAACGCTGGCCTAAGCTCTCTTGTATGGCTATTAATATCCTCTCAATACGAAGATTGCGGCATAAAGTGACGGGATTACAGCGCATTTACGCTCGCGTAGGGGTCTTAGCGGACTCCAGGGTGTGGTTTAAGGGACTACACCCGCTAAGCATTGTAACTCAGGCCTGAACCCCTAAAACAAGGGCTGTGAGACATTTGCAAGGGGTTTGAAGATCTTCAGGGGTTATGGTGTTGCTGGCGGAGCAACTATAGCGCTCGGACGCTGTGAGAGAGCTATTATCCCTCCGTCCGGTGAGACATAGTTCACGCTAGCAAGGGGGCCTGGCTCAGACTGTAAAGTCATACCTTTGCTTAAAAAGTTATTAGTCATCTATCACCTTTCGCCCTGAGCCAGGCCCCCTTACTAGCGTGGACTATGTCTCACCGGACGAAGGGATAGGACCCTTTAGCGACTCTGCCCCTGTAAGCTCAGGGGACATGCCTTCTAAAGGTGTGGTACCCCTTGTTTATAGTTTATAGCGTGCTTACAGGAGAGTAGTCTGGAAATATAGGGGGCTTCAGTGGGTGAGTGTGGTAGAAAGTGGCCTGAAAATGGACTTGCAGTACGAATGCCCTGTAATCCCGTCACTTTATGCCGCAATCTTCGTAGTACTAATGAGCAATAAACCAGAGAGAGTCTTTTTAGGGGCTCGTCGTACGATAAGCTGGGATAGGGGGCAGCTAGAAGCCGAGATAATTAAGATACGGGAGTGCCTTAAGTACTGGAAAAGGACTGGAATTCTAGATACTTTCTTTAAATAGGTAAATAACAGAGAGCCTTTCCTTTATTATATATAGTATAGTACTTTACTAAACTTCTGAACCTTCTGGAATTAGAAAAGGGGTAAAATCGTATGTATATAGGGATTAGCTCGCTAAATAATTAATTGCACTATTAATATAATCGATACCTTATAATTATGGCATCAATTGTTATCGATAGTGCAAAACGCCAATCGTTGCCGAGCCTGTTATAGAGAGAATGGCATAGACTCACCGATGTAAGAAGAAGAGTGGGACTGCTCTGGAGCTTGAGTCTAATCATATAATACCACAAAAGCGGCGTCGTGTTACAAAGACGCAAATGTTACTCTAGACAGGGTCTCTAAACCTGCAAAGGTCTTAAAGGCAGCGAAGAGAATTATAGAATATATAGAGAGTATAACCCTAAATTTGTAGAAAATAGAATTTGAGTAGATAAAATACTCTAATCCTATAGAACCCACCTATACAGCGCCCAGAATCCTATAAAGTACCACAGACAACTCAACAGCCATGGCATAACCCATCCCTGAAGCATTAGCTCATTTAATTGCAATAAACGTTGAATGATTTGCGAGCATGGCAAGAGGAGACTCCTTCGCTACCTTGCAAGAGATCTAGACTAAGATAATTGCAATCTTTAGCGGAAGATGACATGAACTTCAATAATAATTGAGGCATTGAAGCCGATACACAATAATATTTTCCCGTACCTCGGGATCTTGTAAGTGACATTGACCGACCTACCTCTCATCTTTCCAAGATTCAGCCCTTCCCAAGCCCTTCTCGCTCAAGGAGTCTTGGCTCTCCTCATACTTGACCTGATACTCGGTCGTCATAACGATCTCATCCTTGCCAGGCATTATATTCTCCTCACTTTCAAACACATTCTTAGTCGCAGCATTCCCACTCCCTTGTCCCCTAGTGTATACCTTGCTATATGCTCGAACCTTTCTAGACTTGGCGGAGTCGTTTTTCGAGTCTTTCAATGTAGCCTCGTAAACGTATCCAGTCGCTATCGTGGTATTGCCTTCCTTCCCAGTGACTTTATGTATGATTCGGACGAGGATAGGACGAATGGTGGGAATGCAGCTGGCGATGAAGACAACCCAAAGGTTGGTACTACATGTTTTAGCTAGGTATGCAAGGGGTCATTGAATGCCCACCTTGCCCAGATGTCTAAATAACCTTGATGGAACGTGGTGTCCTGCATTGCTTTAACTGTACCGATCTGCACAGTCTTGACCACAGCCGTTATGGCAGCACTGAGAGGATCAGTGAATGCTAACCAATAGTTGGGACAAACTTACAGAATACCGAACCCAAACAAGATAACCAAACCGAGCTTGACATGGAGCTTGACTTGCAGATGCCAAAGCATAATGGCAGGATACAACGCAAGCGCCGTATCTAAGGCTGCGCCAAAACTTCCCTGGAAGTATGCAAAGATCGTATACGTTTCCCTGCCATAACACGCTCCCGCAATACTGGGGTTCCAGATCTTGTTCACAGGGTTGCATTGCGCCCAGAGCAGAGGTATGAAGATGAAACTGACCATGCAGTTGCTGGCCGCGCAGATGTAGAGAATGCGTTTCCCGTTCCGGTTAGTCCCTTCTAGTTGGAGGATGAATTGAATGACTGCCATCTTACCGAAGGCGATGGCGAGGATGGAGAAGGTCGTGAATATCAATTGGTAGAGTTGGGATTGAGGATCAGGATTCGACGAGGGAGTCGCGGGAGAGAAATGGGCGCCAATTCCATTGTCGACAGAGATGGTGAGGAAGGCCGATGAGAGAATCGCGCAGACCTGCGACGTTAGGTACTGGCTGAAGGCAGAAGGACAAACTTACATATGATGAAAACGCCCACCAGAAGTCAGGATTCCAACGCCGAATGATGAAGCCATTGGTATAGATGCGCAGCGCCATCAAGGCGGTTCCAGCTGCGAACTCCGACCATGTTACTGCGAGAGCAGTGGGACCCAGTCCCGAAGCCACCATGATGAAAAGAATGTACAGGTTAAGAAGGGAACAAGATACTCCGCTTGGTAGTGAAGAAGAGACGGCAGTGCTTACCTTTGAGGTAAATGATGGGCCCTTCAATACGAAAAACATGGGGATGCTGTCATTGAAACCTCCTGGAACATCGCAGGATTTAAACCCCAGGGTTGATAGTGGTGGAAGTTTCGTCTCCTCTCAAAAGAAGAGAGACTCGTCCGACCTTGCGGACGATCATGCTTGGTAGGTATATTTTCAGATGAAAGGCGATCATTATCCTGTTTAATCAATGCACGAATGAGCATTAGAAGCGATTATTTAGAATGAGACAAGATCGGTTCAGGCAAAGGGGAAACGTCAAACACATCTGAGGCTAACCGGAGAATTTTGTTGCCCATTTGTGGCATCGCTTGATGTAACAGTTGGCGTCTCGGTTTGTGCTTCCCTGAAAGCAATTCCATTTCTGATTCTTTAGGAGAGTACAAAGTAGTATTTCAGGGAAACACCAAAATTACGTGTGCTGATTAGCTGTGAGTCAAATGCCTGAAAAGCGAGTATATGCGACAGACTAAATTAGGCTAGCTTATTACGTGGAATATCACGTGCGGTATTACGTGCATACTACTTGTTGAACTAGCTAAATAATAAAGCTAGGGTCACGTGCTTGCAATGTAAACCAAGTAAAACGTACTGAATTGACTGCTGTTCTACAGTGGTAAGTAGCCTGTATATATAGCCCTGAACCCCCGAAGTCACATGTATTAAACCCCTAAACCAGAGAGCCTTATACTGAACCATTCAACCTCAGCTGAACAGATTTAGCCTCACAGGGCATATTATGCCCTGAATCAACCTTACAGGGCATAATCTACTCAGTAATAAGCCTATGGCTTAAGCCCCATTAGTGCACAGCCCCTAAGGCTCTGTTCCAGGGCTTACTAAGCCTATTAGGGGCCTCAGGCCCCTAATTTCAACACTACTCAACTACTCTAGAATATCCAAGAGTAGTGTGGTACGGCAGACCGTACTCTCCAAAAATCATGTTGTTTTGGCGGTTTTGAGGTTTTGGTCACATGGCAAAGACCGCGGCCTTTTGCACGTGACTTGCAGAAATTATATAAGAAAGCTAGTTTTTCTATAGTCCTAGAGAATAATCTCTTCTGAGTATTTAATTAATTAAGCTTTTATATACTATATACTATTTATACTTTACTATTTATGCTTTTAATCTTATTATTTTATTATTAAGTTATATTCTAATATACTTTGTATAAGTTTTTGTCTTATTATAGTTTCTTTCCTATATATTTTATAATAAGTAATATAGGGAAGATTAAAACTTTATAATTAAAGTAATACTTTTATAAAGTTCTGAGAAATATCTATAAAGCGAATTATTAGCTTAGTAAATTAGGAAAGAAAAGAACTATTATAATATCTTAAGTCTAAGACTAAAATATTAAAGATATATAAATATTAATCTTAGTATTTTATATTAATTTCTAATATATCTAGTAATTTAAATACGGATTAGTTATAAGATATAATTACTAGTATAATATATAAAGGTAATAGAAATAGAGACTAATTATAAAAAGAAAAGAAATAAAAGAAATAGAATAAGAAATATTATACTAAGATAATATAAATTAGATCTTAGTTAGAAATAAACTTTAGTATTTGGAAATAAAGTTATATTATTAATTTATATATTATTTTTAGTTATAATAAAAACCGGAATAAAAATAGTATTAGTTCTAGTAAAAAAGTTTATATCTAAATCCGGAAAAAATACCTAAAAGAGGAAATATCCTTAATTTTAAATAAAATAATAAATAGAAATTAGAAATAAGAATTAAAAAGAAATTAGAAATAAGAAATTATATAAATAATCTAGAGAAGCTTCTAGAGAAAAGAAAGAATACTAAATAGAAATAAAAAAAAGAATTTAGAAAAATTAAAAAAATTAAAAAATTATATTTATTATTTATATTATTACCTTTAATAGTATTATTAAATATATCTAGTTTAGTAAAGTTAAAAGAAAATACTATAAATAATAAGCTAATAAAATAGAAAAGAAAATATAAATAATAGAAATAAAACTAGAAAAGCTATTATTTTATTATTATTAATACTAAAATTCAAATCTAGATTATATTTATTATTATTAACTAGTTTTTTCTAAATCTTGATTTTAAACTAAAAGATATATTTAAATAAAAAGTTAGCTTTTTAAGAACCTTATTAGTAGAAGTTTTAGATATAGAAACTCTATAATTAATTATAAAAAAAGTTATTAAAATTAATATAGTCGAAAATAAATATATATTAGGATTAGATTTAAATCTATTATTTATAAAAGCTTCTAAAATACTATAGTTTTAAGAAAGTAATATTTCTATATTCTTGAAATAATATATAAATATATATAAAAACTATTATATTTCTAATAATATTAAAAAAGAAAGAATTATTTATTATATTTCTTTTATTTATAAGAATTAGATTAAGGCTATATTAGAATATTATACTAATAATTCAAGAAATTATTAAGAAACTAAATTCTTTAAGGTCTTATTAAAGGAATTCCGAGAATATAACTAGGAAATATTTAAAATTAGCTATAGCTTTCTTAATTAGATTATTATATAAGTCCAGAATAAAGAAATTTCTTTTAAGTCTTATATTAATATATTTAATAAAGTATTAAAGAAATTACTAAAGAGAAAAAAGATAAATAAAATTATTTAGTACTAAGAATTTATAAGAGAATTATTTATTCTAATAAGAAATTATATTTTTAAAAATATAAACTTTAAGCTTATAAATATTTTTATTTATAAATATAATAAAATATATAAGAAAATAGTAATATTTTATAAGTATAAAGAAAAGAAATATTATTTTAATATTACTAATAACCTAAATATATCTAGATTTAGATAAAAATATTTAGATATAGTAATTTATAATATAGTTTTTAAGCCAGAAAATAATTACTTTTTACTAGTTTCTTTTATTATATTTTCTAAAGCTATTATAAATATAAGTAAAAAAAGAATCTAGCCTATAGCAAATTATATAAAACTTATTAAAAGTAATAAATCTAAAAAAGATAATATTAATTAGCTAGTAAAAAGTTTAGAAAAACTATTTATTATTATTATAACTTAAGAAAATCTATAGAAATAACTTAATATAATTACTATTATAATTTAAGAAAATATTTATAATCTATTTATATAATCTAGCTAATTATAGTAAATATAATAATATTAATAACCTAGTAAATATAATTCGGGTTTTTAGGGAAAATATATTAGAAATTATAATAGAGAATATAAAGAATACTATAATAACTATAATAATTAAACTAAAATAAATAAAAAGTTTAGATAATTATATTCTAGAGAAAGTTAGTTATAAATATAATTAGAAAATATTATTTAAGTTAATATAGCCTATAATATGAATCTAGAACTAAAAGAATAAATTTATTATAAATATTATAATAAGAATAAGAATAATAATACTAATTTAAAATATATTTATATTTTTTAATTCTATTTTTTACTAATAAAAAAGCTTATAAATTATAAATATATTTACTAATTTAATAGAAAATAATATAAAGAGTTATTTAAGCCTAAATAAAAAAGTATTTCCTTTTTTCTTATTAGTAAATACTAGTAATTTAACTAAATTATTTCCTAAGTTTAAGGAAAAGAATTTAATTATAACTTAAATACTTAATTTAAAAATATCTAGAAATTAATAAAAAATATCTAGTTTATAAAATAAGAAAGAAAAAATAGAACTGGCTAACCGGGATCTATATATAAAAGTAAGTAAATTATATCTAGAAAATCTAAATAGCTATTTTATCTTAGAAGAAATTATATTAGAATTACTAATATTTTAGGTTCTGAAATTAATAAATAGTACTAAGATTTGGCTATAAATAGTATTTCTATTAATACTATAATAGGTTTCTTATTAAAAAGAAAGAAAAAAGAAATAGAAATAATTAAAGAAGTTTTCTAAAAATAAACTAAAATAAAAGAAAAGCTATTTTATATAAGAGGCCAAAAAAATATTACTTTAAAAAGTAATAAATAAAAGAATAGCCTAGCTAAAAATATTAATATTAATACTTCCGGAAATAAATAAAATGAATTAGAAACCTAGTATATTCTTAATTATAATAAATATAGAACTCCTAAAATTAATAATATTCTAATAAAGCTACTAAAAAAAGTAATTATTTTATTTCTAAAAACTTAAAAAGAAATAAGAATATTTATTAATACTTTAAAAATACTAGATCTAGCTATTATATTTTAAAACTAATAAATTAAGAATAATACTTCCTATTTTATTATTTTATAAATAGAAAATACTATTATATTAAATATAATTAAATATACTAGAAAATCTATAAAGCTAGTAGCTATAGCTTATATAATAAATAAAATATTTAAGGAATTAGAAATACTAGTTTAGGTATCTAATACTAATAAAATTATTTAATTTAAAAATAATAGTATTAATATTCGGATATTACTAGCTTATAAATATATTAAATAATTTCTGTATTTCTAATTTATATTTTGAGAATCTTAAAAAAGTATTAAATATAAAGAAATAATTAATACTAAAGCTAAAGTTAATATTCTTTCTAAAAAGATCTCTAGAAATATTAGTAAAGTAATATATAATACTATAAATTATTAAATATTTATTATTATTAGAACTGAATTTGGATTTATAGAAATAATAAAGCTTAGAACTAAGATTATAGATAAAGTAAGATATAAAAATATATTTTTCCTAGTTAAAAAAGCTCTAAAAATCCTATTTAATTAATTATTTTTAGTAAAAATAAAGTTAAATATTATATATAAGAGTAATAATTTATAAAATAAAAGATTTACTAATTCTAAAAATAATTAGAATACTTATATTATTATAATTATTTTATTTTTAAAAAATACCGGAAA